TCAAGGAACGACATCAACTCGCACCCCCGCCGTCTCGTCCACCAGTTGATCAATGTTGGGGAGAGGGAACGGGTCCATGGGGCACGCCTTGTTCAGGTCAGTGTAATCAACACACATCCTGAATGTTGGCGGTTTCTGGGCGAGGACGACGTTGGCCAGCCACGTCGGGTACTTCACCTCTTTTATGTGTTTGATTGAGAGGAGCATGGCGACCTCCCCTTTGACGAAGTCCCGCCTGTCGGCGGATAAGTAGCGCCGCTTCTGCTTGACAGGCGCGGAGGCCGGATCGACGGTCAGCCGGTGAGTGATCACCTGGCGGCTGATGCCTGGCATATCGTCCGGGCCCCACGCGAAGACAACGGCGTGTGACCGCAGGACGAGGAGGATGGCGTCTCGTTGGTCCTGGGGGAGCTGCTTTCCGATCCTGAGGACCCGCTCCGGCCGGGAGGTATTCAGAGGGACCTCCTCGACCTCCTCAGCCGGCTCAGCATGTGGCCTCTCCTCGTCCTTGGCAACGGCTGTCGTGATGGTGTCTATCCTCTGACCTTCCCTCTCGGCTGGCCTCGTCAGTTTGAGGTAGCATGCCCTGGCTATCCTCTGATTTCCTTTGGCATAGCCGATGCCGTCATTGGTGGGGAACGTGGGACACCTCCCCAATGTAGAGGGATTGGGCCCATTTCTTTCTCTGAGTGGCGGAGTCCCCCCCAGTGTTCCCACCTACGATGAGGTGAATGTGATTCTTCTTTGGCGGGGGCTCTTCGAAGTCCTCGTCGTCGCTGAGCCTACCAATCTCCCGCTTCTTCGCAGAGGGTTCGCCCCCATGTTTGCCGGTGTTTACCCATATGTTTTTGCGTGGGCCACCTTTAATAAACTGGGAGAGTTCCCCCTGGCGAATAAGGCGCTCGATGACCTTCTTCAGTGTGATGCAATCATCGGTGTTGTGCGACGAGTTCTTGTGGAACCGGCAGTATGTGCCGCCCTGCTGGATGGCAAGGACCTCTTCGGCCGGCCGAGGAGTCTGCTCAATGAGGCCGTGCTTCTCGGCATAGTCGAGGATGATGCCGACCGGGTGAGTGAGGGCAACCCCCGGCCGTTCAAACCTCGGCCGCCAGTGGCGATCTTTCTTACTCTGTCCACCAGAGCCGTGACGGCCCTGGGCACCCTGGCCGGCCGGGGACGAACCCGGGGCCGGCGAAGGATTTGTCTTCTTGGAGGGATGGCCCCCCTCTTTCTTGTGATTGTGGAGCTCGTCGGCGTCGGCGTACAAGCCTCCGCGCTGGAGCGCCTTGGCGTACGACCTCGGAGGGTCGGTGATGAGGCTCCTAGCGTACGGGGAGCTGTGGAGGGCTCCCTGATACAAGGCGAGGAGGGTGCGCTCGTCGACCCCCTCGACTTCTTCGGTCTCCCTCGTCCACCGATCAATGAATGCCCGGAGGGACTCATCATGCTGCCGCTTGACGGCGAGGAGGTGGGTGAAATACTTCTTCGCATGCTTCATCCCGGCAAAGTGGGTGAGGAAGCGTTGGGCAAGATCCTGCCATGAGTCGATGCTCCCTTCGGGGAGCGCGTTGAACCACTCGTACGCTGGCCCCTCAAGAGTAGAGAGGAACCAACGGCAGAGGTATTCATATGACGCGTTCACCATCAGCATGTTGTTCTGATAACGGCTGAAGTGTTCCTGGGGGTCTGATCGGCCATCGTAGGACTTGATGGCGTTTCCCCTGTACTTCTCCGGGATGGGGGCCGAGAGGACCCTGTTGGTGAAGGGGGTCCTGGTCCTGACCTGGATGATAGGGCCACCTCGCCCTTCGGCCAACTCCCTCTCCAGGGCGCTGACTTTGTTCATGAGCGTGTTGAGGCTGGGTTATTGGAGGCGCCGGCCGTAGGGATGTTGGTCGACTTCTTGGCCTCCATCTGTGCCAACCTCCTTTCCAGCTGGGCGATGACCTCGTCCCGGGGGTCCCTGGCGGCCGCAGCGGCGCCCGGCTGGTTCCTCATGCGCTCGTCGTGAGCCGCATTGATCTGGTGGCGCACGTCATCTTCATGCAGTTTCCCCTTGCCCTTGTCCGGGCGAGGCTGGTCCGCTGTCCGGGACACAGACCCCAAACTTTCCCTTGGCGAGCCAGGCCGACGCTCGCCAATCCGTCCCGCCATCTTCTCCGAAACCGGACGACGGCGCGTGTCACCTAGCCTGTTGAAGGCAGAGGCTTTTCCACGCGCTGGGGTCTGCCCGGGCCGAAGAGGGGAAGCAGGGTGGGAGTGGGACGATGCCGTGTCCTGGGCCATCACCCCTTCATCGTTGCCTATCTGGACGGCCAACGGTTGGGGCTGAGGAGGTGGAGTGACGTTCCCCCCGGTCCTTGGCAAGAGTGCGCTGAGGACGGTGGAGTTCTGAGCCAGGTTGGCGATGATGACCGACAGCGCGGCCTGGACCTGTGGATCCACGGACGGAGAGGCCGCGGCCGTAGGCTGGGCCGGGGCGTAGTCCGTCTTCTCAGCTCGTTTCTTGTCCAAGCCGACGCGGGCATCAGGGGCTCCGCCGTTGAGTTGGTTGCGGAGGTCCGTCGTGAGGTTGAAAGCCTCCTAGAAGACGTCCCCCCCGCCGACCTGGTCGGCCGTGGCGTCCTCATCGTGCTCCCTGGCCTCTTGGTCTTCAGGGATTGCCTTGATGACGAGGTTGCGGTTTGATTTAGTTCTTCCCATGATCAGTGGTTAGCTGTGCTTGGTAGCGACGAATGGTGCTAACTTGATTGTTCTAGCTCTCAACGAGAGCACCAAATGATAGAGTATATCTAGAGAGAAGTGAGAGCTAGAGAGAGAAGTGCAATATATGCTTCAATAGAATGAATTTGTAACCCCTATAACTACTCCCAAGGGGAGTATTTATAGAGAAAATACGGGCTGGGCTCCCAAGCCTTGGGATTGGGAGGCCCATTTACGACTGGACCGCTACTGGGCCGAATACAAAGCCACTAATGGGCTGTACAAATGAGTAAGTGTAGAATCCGGTTCTGTGAGGTCTTCGTGGCCGACGAGGGCACGGCCGACGAGGGCACGGCCGACGAGGGCACCCGGGTTCCTTGGCTTCAGGACCATAATCTGAGTTGGCACCTTTTCGGCCGACGGGGGTCCCTTGGCCGACGTGGGCACCACTCAGTGTCTTGTGCTTTCCGTTCTTCTGAGTATGTGGGTCCGGGGGCTCAGACCCATATACTCCATCAGCCACGTTACCCAAATAAAGTATACTCCATAGTACCTAGTACTTCGTAATTTGTTAGGGAGTATTGCTACGTACTCCATCCGTCCCTTATAACTTTGCCAACTTTCCTTTTTTGGTGGTCCCAAAAACTTTGCCACATTCCTTTTTAGTTAATCAATTTGTGGTTCCTGTTATTTCTCCCTCCTCTGCACAAATCTCTATTATTCTACGTGCCAGTCAAACTTGGCAATCCTTTTAGGGACGGAGGGGTATGTATTACGGGAGGCCGACAAGGCGGCAAACCCAGGAAACCAGGAAGGTTGAAGAGGGTGTTGAACCACCGTTGCCGTTGAGAGAGGGAGTGAGCGGAGAGAGAGGCAGACCATCGTTGATGATTGCCGGTGTTAATTTTTGCCGCCGTTGATCTGGAGGTGTTTGCCGAAAAATGTTGCTGGAGCCCGGAGAACCGCCTGTGCGCTTAAAGAAAAAAGCCAGTTTTTGGCAGACCATCGATTCTCGCCTATCACTTTGATTCTCGGCTTGTTGAGCTCGTCGATGGTGATCATTCCATCGCTGTTGCGGTCGAACATGTCGAAGATGCGGCGGAGGCAGACGAAGTTCAGGCTGGGGCTTCGAAGGCGGAAGGAGGTGGATGAAGGGACAGTGACGTTGTTGGGCTCGCATTGGGCTTGACTTGTTGTTCATGGCTATGGTGGAATCAAATGTTGACGAAGAACACGCGAAAGTGAAATAGAAGAGGGAAATGAAATGGACAAGTGTAATGTTTTAAATGGCTTATCTACTCAAATGTACGGTACACTTGTAATTAAGAGAGGTACCATAGAAAGACCCCCATTTTTCATTTTTTCAATAGTGCACTCCTTAATTGGGCAGGTGAGATTTCATTTTTCATTTCACATTAATTATTTTCCATTATACCCTTATTTTGGGCGAGAATTTCCCTACAGTTATTGTCTCAACTCTGTTACTTTATATGAAGTACTCCGTATTAGACAAATAAAAAGATTAGCGTACACATGCATATGAGATCTATGAGACACATGTATGTAACTTTCATACTCCGTATTTCATTCGTAATATTAGTTTTGTTTCTTGCCAAAACTATTGTATAAAATATATATAGGGAGTGTTAATGATTACATGCATATAGAGACTTTTAAAAAATTGCTTCATCTGCTATACTTTCATTTGGATGGGCAATAAATGATTCATCTTACCATTTTTCATTCTTTCAATAGTCCACTCCTTAATTGGGTAGGTGAAATTTCATTTTTCATTTCCCATTAATTATTTTCCATTATACCCAATTTAAGGACTCGAATTCCCCCGTTATTGCCCCAACTCTATTACTTTATACTTCCTACATCCCGAATTGTACGACACTTTACAGTTTACGATATTTGACCGACGATAATGCAAACGAATTTCTATTTGCACTCAAATTATTTTTAGAAAAAAAAAGAATTACATATTCAGAAACTACATTTAAAAGTTTTACAAAGTTATAAAAACTAGAATCAGATTTGATAAAAATTTGATACATAAAGTAAAAGATTAAAAGTGATTTGTGTTGATGAAATGAATATGAAACATATGTTACAAAATGCTAACGAAGGAGTATTCCCGGAAGATAAAAGATGACATAATAGTGACATACTCCTCATTAAATTACAAGGTAGTAATTTAATACGGAGTACCTCAGTAGTCATTAGGCTATGCTATGCCTCATGATATGTCACGTGACCCACTTAACTCTCAAATGAGTGAAAAATAAAATACGGAGTCGAGACCAGAACTCGAAAAGTTACTTCTCACCCTCACTCAGCTCTTCTTTCCATACTCAGCATCAAGCTGTGAGAGCAACAGCTAAGGGAAAGTCGAAACCTTTCATGTTATTTGCATTGCAGAGAAGTTTTATGGACTGAATTCTTTATTTTTGCGTCGATATTTCTAGAAAAGAAAAGCGAAAAATGGAGCATTCCCAGCAAACCTCTCTGAAGAGAACCTTCCAAGTCATGAATGGAGGGCAAACAGAAACTGACTCGACGAACGTTCACAAAACACGGCCTCTACGAAGAGAGTATGCTGATCTTTTATTTCAATTTTAAGCCTAACTTTTTGTTAATTTATAGATACTACCCCCTAAAAAAGCTTACACGCTTCAGGATAAACTTTTTGTGACGGAGGTAGTATTTACTACGTGTAGTTTTTTATTTTATTTAGAGTATGCACTAAAACATGTATTAACTAAAAACAATAGAATGTGACAAAAGTTTGGGTAGAAGTAAAGGTGAAATTTATTTATGGACATGGGAGGGTGTTTCATGCAATTTTGATTTCAATGTGAGTTTAAGAACTGTTGTATGCCTTTTTTTTGGATTAATTGAAGTGAGATGAAGGCTGTCAAGGTTGCATTAATGAGGAACACAATTGCTATGGTGGATCCGGGTACTGACAGGAGTATGCTTTCTCTGCTGATGGTTCAAGAATTTGTGAAATCTTTGATGGAGATTAATGTTGGCAAAAAGATTGCAATTCTAGCCACTACAGTTAATCTTGTTCATCAGGCATGCTCCAATTTTTGTTTTCCCTAACTTCTGATGGTAATAATGACAAAGATGCAGTGTTTGATTCTTTAAAAGGTTTCCTAAAATTAAGTTTTTTTCGTTTCTAGAATATAAACCAAGAAGTATCCGTGCTTGTTGTGTTTCATTGTTATCTAAATGATTTTAGTGAGTTTGTAGCTCTTTCAATCCTTTGAACTTATGATTATGCCCTATGGCTTGTGTTCATGGAAAATGTGAGATTATGGTAGTTTTTTCCATTCGACATATTGACTATTCGAAAAGGAGGATTTATGCTGGTTTTAGATTTTTTGAAATTAGAATACCGTAGACTTTGTGTGCTTTTCTTTCATACGAAGTATGTACTAAATACCCCCTTCTTCCCGAAATAAACTTTCTGTTTTTATTTTGGGCTGTCCCGAACTAATCTTCCTCTTTCCTTCTACTTAAATAAATATGGTTCTTATCATTTCAATCTTTTGTACTTAAATCTCAACTGCATCTATGGTTTGTGTTCATGGAACAGTGTGAGACTACGCTAGTTTTTTGACTTTTTCCATTTGACATATTGACTATTCCAAAAGGAGGATCCATTCTGGTTTTAGGTTTTTTGAAATTAGAATACCATAGACTTTGTGTGCTTTTCTTTCATACTACCACCGTTCTTAAATAGTTGCAACTTGCAACATTAGAAAATTTTCACTATTCATGTGTTCAACTTTGACTACATTTTATTAACGAATGCATTAGAATTTTAATTTTTTAAAAATATAATTAAATTGTTCTCATCTTAAATTTTTAAAATGTGATTTTATTTAAATTTTTACAATTAGAGAGTTACATATATTAATAGTCAAAGTTATGCATTGGCAAACGTGAAAATGGAAGTGTGGCAACTAAAAAAGAATGGAGGAAGTATGTACTAAATACCCCTTCTTCCCGAAATAAACTTTCTGTTTTCCTTTTGGGCTTTCCCGAACTAATCTTCCTCTTTCCTTCTAGGTAAATAAATATGGTTCTTATCATTTCAATCTTTTGTACTTAAATCTCAATTGCATCTTTTCCTTTTCAACCAACTTTATTAATAGTTGTGCCAAACCGAACCATGAAGTTTAACTCGGGATGGAGGGAGTATGAATTAGTACAAAGCGCTATTTATTCAAATTCTTCTATTGTAAGTGTACTGTTCTATAGGCATTGTAATACTATAACTTGAATTTCCCTAAAAGGTGAGGCTTTTCTTGCTTTACTTTGCATTTTCAAATTCTCTAAATAACTTTAAGATTCATGCACTTTATAATGAAATCCCTATTTTTACTCCCACATTGCAGCAATTTGAGGCCATAAAATGCCACACCAAGCTACAAGTCCAACAATTCTATGGGGCAAGAGGAATTGATACATGGGACGCTGACACATGGGAAAAAGAAGTGAATGATCATGATGTAACAAGTCACCTCCTTTCCAATTTGTACAATGATCTGTTCTAATTTTTTTGTATGGTTAAAAAGATCAACTACGGCATGGATATTAGGTTCGATGATCATCATGCGACTATTTAATGCATCATTAATACCACTATTTCATTAATGATTACTTGCAGGATAGGTTCTTTTTATCAAATGAAACTCCAATCATATATTGGATGCATTCTAAATTGAGGTTATAGTTCTCAAAGATAATTGTACAATTTTGTATGCCCCTGAAGGCACCGAGGCATACACCTGCACGGCTGTGTACCTAGTATAATACTCCATATCACATACTACCTCAATCCCAAATTGTTTGTCCCTTTCAGATTATGAAGGTTGACTGAATTTAAAGTCAAAATTTCTATTAAAAAATGAATACAAATATGATAAAAATTTGATACACCAAATTAAAGAGAAAAAAGGAATTTAGTTGACCGCAAGAATAGTGAACGGAGCAAACAAATTGGGATGGAAGGACTAATACATACCAGCATACATGTTTAACTGTTTAAAGAGGCAGATATAAATTATTTATTTAAATATGTTTGGATCTCCATGCTTGAATTGTAAGAGTATTACTTGTGAAATATAAATGATACATAATTTTGTTGAGATGATATAAATCACAGATTGCTCCTCTTATTTGGATAGGTTTTGGTGATGACACCACAGCTTTTATTGAATGGATTGGTAAAGGAATTTTTGAATATTGGAACAATTTGCTTATTGGTCCTAGATGACTGCCATTGCGCCAGTGGCAGCCATCCCTATGCCAAAATTATGAAGGTCTCATCATAATACCGCAAGAAACTCTCATGAATTTCCTAGTTGTTTTACTATTTACTACTTTAGTAGATTTCTACAGATATGGCTTCTAATCATTATTTTTTCATTTGAACAGGATTTCTATCATCAATCCAGCAAAAAGCCCAAGATTTTTGGGATGTCTGCTTGTGTGAAGTCTAGGAAAGGTAATATTTAAACTTCGAATTTCAATCCCCCCATCTACGCCGAACACGGATTACCTGAAAATGGAAAAGAATGAAAGGGAGCAAAACTTGAAGTCATTAAAATTCCTCGTGTTTGCTTTGAACTCTAGTGTGCGTACAAAGTTACAAACAAATCAATGCATTTTAATGTTTATGTATGGTGTATCTGGAAAGTAAGTAAGTTATGCAATGATGGATATAAACTCCAGGCCATCAATATTATGCAATTGGCTTTACTTAACTTTATAGTTTATCTGTTTCTATGTTTTAGAAATCCGCTAAAACCATAAATGAACCTTTATGTACAGGCACCTCAACAACCAAGGAGGATCTTGAAAATCTTCTAGACTCCCAGGTTTCTGCTGGTTAATGGTTAATGATGATCTGTCTTAAGGTTACATTTGTCTTTTTCCACAGACCTCATTTCTTAAGTACTTCTCAGATATTTTCAAAAGAGAATTCAGGGGACTCGGAAGATCTTTCCTCTTCCACAAATGAGTGCTGTATATTTTATGATACGACACATACTTGCAATTTGGAATTGAAAATAGAACTGGATTCGTTGTGGTCTAAGGTGAAAACTTAAACTTCAATGAGATTGCACTGTACTAGTTTGATAAACATAAAGATGTAACTGAATTTATCTATGTTTTTTTATTGGATCTGTTTTTTTTTTTAAATTATGTCGATCTTGTGACAGTTTGATGCAGTTTTACTCAAGCTGCAAGCTTCATCAGAATCAGTGCCAAGTCAGTCTATTGATAGTTTAGATACCAGTGCTATGTATGAGATGTTGAGGAAGAAGTTGTCTGATGATCATGCAAGTATCAAACACTGCCTTTATAATCTTGGGTCTATACCTGCATTAGAGGTGATGCTATCTATAAAAACAATGCAATATTATATTCTCTCTTTATTTTTTTATCAGGCATCAATACGAATAAAGCAAAATGGCTCACTAAAGATTCTCTCTTTATATTCTCTCTTTATTTCCATCATTTGCAATGGAGCCAAAGATTTATTATTTTTTGGCTTGAGATTATGATGGAATAAAGCAAAATGGCTCACTAAACTGTCTTCGCTTCTTTGTTATGGAGCAATTTTGGACGCGATTTTCACTATGGGTCATCCGGAAACAGTCTCTCTGTGCTTTAGCACAGAGGTAAGACTGCGTACATCCGACCCCCTCTTACCCCACCCTAGGTGGGAGCCTTTGCGGCACTGGGGTAAATGAAAATGATGAAAAATGATCAATACGAAAATAATAATAATATAAATGTGGCAATATGGCGTGATTGAAACTTGGAGCAGATTTGTATTCATGTTGATGACATTTATAAATCTCTGCTCGACAAAACTTTAACCATGAAAATATTGTACTAGATTTCTAATACAATTGGTCTTTAGGGTAGATGGAGAGAATTAAAAGTGTAGTTTTTCTTATTGGTTCATTGTAAGCCGTGGTACAAACTGAACAATGCACCCTGCTGGCAAATTTGTTTATTTCACATTTTTCTTGTTCATTATGCAAGCAGTGAGTGTTCGTCACTCTATATTATAAACTAAATGTCAATGAAAGTAAAAGTCCTCCAAGGAACTGGATTATAGTTAAATATGCAATTATGCATCATTACTCATTAGAAAACTAAACTATGAGTAATATAAATTGTAGATTATTACAGATAATTACTCATCTGATTTAGCATTTATGAGGAGATATCTTAGAGATCTCAGAATCTCTAAATATCCTCAATTATCTTGTCTTTATTAGGGAATCTTAATTAGGAGGATTCCTTCCTTATTCCACTTTTCTCTAGCTATATATATTATGTATTCATCTCATTGTATTACACAGAATAAGAGAAATAAAATACATTTTACTTTCTCAAGTTATTTCTACATGGTATCAGAGCGTGGTTATTCTCTAAATCGGATCCTATGGGATGACCACCGAGAGAGATGGATCTATCCCAGTCACCTCTGAACATTCAGAGGTTGTCCCAACTGGAGATGGCAGCAACTAGAATATCAATGGAAGCACAGTCACCACTCCTAATCAGTCAGATTCGATTATTACTTGCCATAAACTGAATGGTAGTAATTATCTACAATGGTCTCAGTCCGTTATGATGTATGTGTGTGGAAAAGACAAGGAGGACTATCTGACAGGTGATGCACCTGCTCCAGATCAAGGAGATCCAGGCTAAAAGAAGTGGAAAAAAGAGAATTATACTGTGATGTCATGGCTCATCAATTCCATGACAACCAGTATAGGAGAAAATTTCCTACTATACAAAACAGCTCAAGAGATCTGGGAGGCTGTGAAAGAAACATACTCAACTTCAGATAACACTTCTGAATTATTTGAGGTTGAATCAATGCTACATAACTTTCAGCAGGGAGAATTGAGTGTAACTCAATACTTCAACAACCTTGTGAGACTCTGACAGCATCTTGATGTGTTTGAGACATACAATTGGTCATGTTCTAAGGATAAGAAGTTATATCAGGAGATATGTGAAAGGAAGAGAGTCTTCAAATTCCTGTCAGGTTTAGACAAGAGTCTAGATGAGGTTAGGGGTAGAATAATGGGAAAGAAACTCACCCTTAGAGAAGCCTTCTCAGAAGTCAGAAGAGAAGAAAGCAGAAGGAAGGTAATGATGGGTCTGAAATCTCAAGGCCAACAACAAAATATTGAAGGGTCAGCCTTATACACCTCTTCCAGACAGAATGAAAACAAGAAAAAAGGGAGGCCATGGTGTGATCACTGTAAGAAACCAGGCCATACCAAAGAAACATGCTGGAATTTGCGTGGTAAACCTAAAGATTTCAAACCAAGCAAAGGGAAAGGAGCCTATGTAGCTACTGGAGATAAAGAAGATATGGGCACTTCTAATCTTGCTGCATTTACCAATGAGCAGATTGAGGTTCTTCAACATCTAATAAGTCAGAGCAAAGGGCCTGCACCATCAACTAGCCTTACTGCTCAGACAGGTAATGCCCTAACAACCCTAGTTGCACACAATCAGCCCTATTGGATTGTTGATTCAGGGGCATCAGATCACATGACTGGAGACAATAAGTTTTTTGCTGAATTGATCCCTATGAAGAATAAGGTAACTGTGAAGATTGCTGATGGAACTACGTCAGCAATAAAAGGGACTGGAAGAGTCAAAATTTCTGACAAGATAGTGCTTAACAATGTGTTATATGTTCAAGATTTAAAGTTTAACCTCTTATCAGTCAGTAAACTGAATAGTGATACACATTGCCTAACTAAATTCTCTTCACAATTGTGTGAATTTCAGGATTTGGATTCGGGGAGGATGATTGGCAGTGCTAAGCAAAGTGGTGGACTCTATCTTCTGGAACATTCACCACATTCAGTCATTCACCCAACTCCACCAACAAGACAACTTCCAGTGAGAGTCAATTCAATCATAAGTTCTTAGGGAGTCTTAGTAGGAGTCAATTTGCTACTCAAATTCAGTTATGGCATTACCGTCTTGGTCATCCTAATGTCTTGTACTTAGAAAAAATATTTCCTTCATTATTCATAAATAAAAGTTCTGCCTTTGATTGTGAATTTTGTCAACTTGCTAAACATACTAAAAGTCACTATCCCAGTCTACCTTACAAACCATCTAAACCTTTTTCACTCATCCACAGTGATGTTTGGGGCCCATCTAAGGTCAAAAATCTCACTGGCTCAAGGTGGTTTGTTCTGTTTATTGATGATCATACACGTCTATCCTGGGTCTTCCTCATGAAAGATAAGTCAGAAGTCAATATTATCTTTCAAAAATTCTATTCTATGATCAAAACTCAGTTTCAAACCAAGATTCAGGTTTTTAAAACTGATAATGCCAAAGAATATTTCTCATCCAATTTAGGAGAGTTTCTGTCAAAAAAGGGGATTATACACATTAGCTCCTGTGTTGACACCCCACAACAGAATGGGGTGGCAGAAAGGAAGAATAGACACTTACTAGAAGTTGCTAGAGCCTTTATGTTCACCACTCACACTCCTAAACACTACGTGGGAGAGGCTGTCCTAACTGCAGCTTACCTGATAAATAGGATGCCCTCCAAAACTCACAAATTTAAAACACCATACCAAATCCTATCTTATCTACATCCTCACATCCCTATTACCAATCTTCCACCAAAGGTCTTTGGTTGCAAAGCATTTGTTCACAACCATTCTCCAGTTAGGTCAAAACCGGATCCTAAATCCTTACCTTGTATATTCATAGGATATGCTGCCAACCAGAAAGGATATAAATGTTATTCTCCTGCCACCAAAAAGGTCTACATCACAATGGATGTAACCTTTTTTGAAAATCAGCCTTTCTATTCCAAAACTGAATTTCAGGGGGAGAACCACAATGAAATCCAATCTTTGAATCCTATTTCAGACACTATTCCAGACCTCCAAGAATCTGAATCTAACCACACTGAATCTATACTCCTAGACAGACCTGAATCAAACCCTCCAGACAATACAGTCTCTCCACCAACCACACCATTTCAGCCACCAACTTCATCACCCCAATCATTACCCCAAAATCCTACACCAAATCAAAATTCCCCATTCTACAAGAATACCTATAAGCGGAAACCTAGAACCAGAGTTCCAGAAGAAGAGCACATCACTCCAATTAACACCACCCAATCATCTGACTCAAATTTGAGTCCTGATGACAAAGAGGTTGAGGCTATAGAAGGAGATGATGAGGAATCAGACTTGCCTATTGCTATCAGAAAGGGAGTAAGGGAGTGTACCAAGCATCCTATCTATAATTTTGCTTGTTATAAGAAACTATCAGCAAACTATCAAACTTTTATTTCAAAGATTGATAGTATTCAGGTTCCTAACAACATCAAGGAAGCCCTTGAACATCCAGGGTGGAGGAAGGCTGTCCATGATGAATTAGCAGCATTGAAGAAGAATGGAACTTGGGTGCTTACAGATTTGCCAGCAGGGAAGAGAACTGTTGGCTGCAAGTGGGTATTTACAGTTAAATATCAGGCTGATGGAAAGATTGAAAGGCTGAAGGCAAGGCTGGTTGCTAAGGGGTTCACCCAAGCTTATGGCATTGATTATTCAGAGACATTTGCACCAGTGTCAAAGTTGAACACCATTAGAGTGCTGTTATCACTCGCAGTGAACCTAGACTGACCATTACATCAACTAGATGTTAAGAATGCCTTTCTTAATGGAGACCTAGAAGAGGAAGTATTCATGGATGTACCACCTGGATTAGAAGACTTGGGGAAATCTGGTCAGGTTTGCAGACTGAAAAAGTCCTTGTATGGACTAAAGCAGTCTCCTAGAGCATGGTTTGATAGGTTCACAAAATCAGTTATTAAACAAGGGTTCATGCAATGTCAGGCAGACCATACACTGTTTGTAAAGAGAGCAGACTCTGAAAAATTGGCTATTCTTATAGTATATGTTGATGATATTATTATGACTGGGGATTATAAGGCTGAATTGGACAGATTGAAGGCTCATCTAGCAAGAGAATTTGAGATCAAGGAGCTAGGCGAGGTGAAGTACTTCCTGGGAATGGAAGTGGCAAGATCTAAGAAGGGCATTTTCATTTCACAAAGGAAATATGTTCTAGACTTGCTAAGTGAAACTGGAATGCTTGGGTGCAAGCCTATGGACACTCCTATGGATATGTCAAAGAAGTTAGGCAGTGAGACTGAAAGTCCACCAGTTGATAAGGGTAGATATCAAAGGCTGGCAGGGAAGCTAATCTACCTATCTCACACACGGCCAGACATTGCTTTCTCAGTAAGTGTAGTAAGTCAATTCATGAATGACCCAACCGAGGAACACCTAACTGCAGTGTATAGAATTCTGAGGTACCTAAAAATGACTCCTGGAAAAGGATTGTTGTTTCAGAAACAAGGGACAAGGAAGATTGAAGTGTTTACAGATGCTGACTGGGCTGGAAGCCTCTTAGACAGAAGGTCAACTACTGGTTACTGTACCTATGTATGGGGTAATTTAGTCACCTGGAGGAGCAAGAAACAATCGGTGGTTTCTAGAAGTAGTGCGGAATCTGAGCTCAGAGCTTTAACACAAGGAATCTGTGAAGGATTGTGGTTAAGAAGATTGATGAATGAGCTCAAACTCCCATTTGAAAGCTCCATCCAGATCTCATGTGACAACCAGTCTACTATCAGTATTGTTAAGAATCCTGTTTATCATGACAGGACCAAACACATTGATATAGACAGAAGGTTCTTATCAGAGAAGATTGCAGCAAAGGATATCCAGCTGAACTATGTTCCAACCAGCAAATAGCGGATATACTCACCAAGGCACTTCCCAGAATTCAGTTTGAAGACTTATCTAGCAAGCTGTGCATGGATGATATCCATCACCCAGCTTGAGGGGGAGTGTAGATTATTACAGATAATTACTCATCCGATTTAGCATTTATGAGGAGATATCTTAGAGATCTCAAATCTCTAAATATCCTCAATTATCTTGTCTTTATTAGGGAATCTTAATTAGGAGGATTCCTTCCTTATTCCACTTTTCTCTAGCTATATATATTCTGTATTCATCTCATTGTATTACACAGAATAAGAGAAATAAAATACATTTTACTTTCTCAAGTTATTTCTACATAAATACTACTATGTAACAGAGGGAAATCAAATAGTCCAGAAAAAGAGAGATAGGAAGAACATAGCTTATTTCTTACTTTTCACTTCAGAAGATATCTGGTTATTTAATAACTAAAATATCTATGGTGAGTGTTTTGGAATTTCATCTCATTACTCTGTCCCATGATCCCATCTTTACAAGGTTGTGACATAAGTTACATCTTGCGTAAAACTCTAGCACTATATTTTAAGATGAATTTATTGTGTTATCTAATTTTAGAAAATTAATTGATAAATTTCATGACACTGACCTCAATGTAATTGGGATTAACGTGTGGTTGATGATGATGGAGGACTCATCACTTTGTATTTAAGTCCCTTTTACGCCAGAATCAGTTTCTATGGCAAACATCTCATTACAAGTTCACATTCTACACACGAAGAATGCCCAATACCATGGGCACAAACACATACAACATCCACGCGTTAATCCCAAAAGCATTTGGGATCAACTAACATGAATCGATCCATGATATCAGAGCAGAAAAAGAGAAGAAAGATAAGAAAAATAAAAATATAAGGTAAGATAAAATGGATAAGATAAAAATAACATAAGAACATAAGACAGATTAAACATAAAAGAGATAAAGGACATAAGAAAAACAAAAGATGAAAGTAAAAGATGAACATAAGAACATAGAATGATAAATAAAATAAAAGATGAAAGAAAGAAAGGATAAGGAAGAAAAGACTTCAATCGTCCACACGTATATGCGCTCTCCACTTTGCTCTGTCCAAAGTCATACATACTCTCATCCAACCCAAGACGAAGCATATCAGTTCGGATTCCTCTAATCCAAGTTTGTTTGGGTCTTCCCTCTCCTACCCGCCTGTTCTTCCTAGCTCTCAAGTCTCAACTCGTCTAAGAGGTGCACCACACGGTCTTCTACGGACATGACCAAACCATCCCAATCAAGACTCTTGCATTTTATCTTCTATAGGTGTTACTCCCACCTTTTGTCTGATTATCTCATTCCTCAAGCGGTCTTTTCTGGTATGTCCACACATCCAATGTAACATATGCATTTCTACCACACTCATCTTTTGAATGTGACATTGTTTCACTGCCCAATACTCTACGCCGTACATTAGTGCAGGCCTAATTGCTGTCCGATAAAATTTACCCTTCAATCTAGTCGGCATACCTTGATCACATTGAAATCCCAATGCACTCTTCCACTTCATCCACCCTGCTCTGATTCTATGGGATACATCTCCATCTAATTCACCATCCTTCTGAATTATAGAGCCCAAATAATGGAACATATCACACACCGGTATCTCCTTGCCATCAAGGATAATCCCAATGTTACTACTAATTCTACCTTCACCAAACTTGCACTCCATATACTCGGTCTTACTTCGACTCATTCTGAAACCCTTGGTCTCCAAAGTTTGTCACCATACTTCCAACTTTGCTTTAACCCTCGATTGTGTCTCATCAATCAATACAATATCGTCGGCAAACATCATGCACCACAATATATCTTCTTGAATTGACTTTGTAAGTTCATGCATGACTATAACAAATAAGAAAGGACTCAGACAATACAAAATTCAGAAAATATATTAGTGAGGAAAAAGAGTGCTGAGGCTCACTGTACCTTGTGAAGCGTTTTATAATGCAAGTTAAATTTGGACTTCATAAAAAATAGTGGAAATCTTTATGTTTTTTCCTCGTTTTTGAAGCCTTTCTACAGGTTTCTGCTTTGATGCCTATTATTGATATCTCTTATTGTAGGCTGCTAAAGTTTGTCTGGAGAATATAGTTAACAGTAGAGAAGAATATCAAGGCAAGGAAGGCTCCTCTCAGCGTAGATATTTTCTTGAGGAAGTAATATCGACTTTTGATGAGTCATTGCCACCTGGTAGTAGTCTGTACTTTTCACGTTTTGCTCTTAAAAACTTTTATATTGGAACCGTCCACTTATTTTTATCACTCCTTGTATTTGCTTAATTAATACTTATTTGTGCATGCTTATTGCTTGCTGTTTTTTAACTTGGGATTCTTACTAATCCAGTTATATTATTCATCAATCTGCTTTTAACCCATTCTACAGTGAACGATCAATTATTTCTGGACTCCTTTGAGTGCTTTCGATACTGCATTGTATAAACTATAAAGTGGTACTGAGGTTCTCCCTCCGTCCTACTTTCTTCGTCCCATCTTTCCCTTTTTGTCCATCCCACTAAGTTTGTAATGTTTGTGTGGTTCTGATTGATCTTTCTTTATTTCCCGCTTTACCAATCCAAGACCGATCATGTAAACCCACGTTTCTGAAAAGCCACACCAGTTTCTCATATCCCAATCTTAGAGGGATAGAAGTGGTATTAACTAACGTCTTTCAATAGTAACGTATATTTGTTAATCATGTGAGCTTTCACTTATTTATTTCAAATACTGTTTCTCTTGTTTTTAAATGGACCTTTTCCCTCATTATTATATTGTCACTGTCTGAATAAAGATTTTCCAACCTCATGATTGCTGTTACCATATCAAATTCTTTAGTTGATATTTGTTACTCTAATCCGAAAAAGAGTTATGTTTGTAATACTATTTGTGGTATCCGAAGCATGACTCTTTTTCTAATAGAGTTAGTATAGTGTTATCATTTCATCATAGTGTTATGTATTGGCCCAATAAATATAAACTATTTTAAGCGGTATCTATGCAATATATGATTGTGCTCCAGATATGTTTGGCAGCTAGTTGCTTGAATAGTTTATATCTTATCAGGTTTGTCTGTTTGGCTCTTTTACCACTATCTTCATTTCTGCAGATTATAAAAAGCCTCCAGCTTGTGGTTACGATCCTTCTGTAACAATCATGAAGGGCCATATATCACCCAAGTTACATCTGCTCTTTGACACACTCAAATCATTTGGGTAACAATACGTGAATGATCCACTTCACAATGTCCAGTTCAAATGACAGTCTTACCCTTTACTTGCTTTGTCTTTACTGTGTCTTGTTACCTGTCCGGGATGTAGGGTGGATCAATTACCATGCGTCGTATATGTTGAAAGCGCTATGACATCTAAAGTTGTAGAAAGACTTGCAAAGACAATAACTTTTGGATCCTTCTGCTCTAGAATGGTACAACTATGCATGTTAAGCAATTTGTATAGCCATCATCAATCATTGAATTTTGTTCTGACTACAAGATTTTTGTCTTAGGTGGATATATTATTTACAACATATACAGTTTTGGATGGAATAAATGCACCTGACTGCAATTCTATCATAAGATTTGATTTGCCAAGTGCTGTTTCTAGCTACATCAACTCTCAAAAACAAGCTTGTAAAAAGGCTTCAAAGTACATAACTATGCTTGAAAGGTGAAAGAACTGGATAGGGCCTTATTCTCTTTCAGGAAATAGAATTCATGAAGGATATGTTGATGGATTTTTTTGAGGCTGTTTAGTAACGTTTATATTTTATATTTGCTTCATAAACAAATATAAAGCTAAAGGATATTTTGTTTCATTTTAATTTGTGAAGTGGAGGATGAGTTGATGGATACTTGTGGATTGAACTCATTAAGGCTGAGTGTGGTGGGTGAGGTGCGGGGAATATGATAGATTTGAGTGGTTATGGATACTCTACAGGAGACAGGGTAGGCAATCAAGCTCGTAAGTAGGTCAAAAAGCATTTGTTTCATGCCTTGAAGGTCAATACACGCCGTGCGATATAGATAGTGACAAACATATTAGTACTTTTTCTCTACTTTTAATTCTTAATACTTAAGCATTGACTATAATCGGAAAGCATTACCTGGCAACAATAGTTCGGAAGTTACCAAGATACTACAGAGTACTTTTTTCCATAAGAATTGAAAAGAAGAGGAAATACAAGTATACAACAATACAAAATACTAAGCAGCCTGCTTCATTTTTATCACTTCATGTATATGCTATGTTTTGCTGTTACAAACCATTCACATTGTATGTATTTCAGGGGAAACTTAAAACAAAGAGAGCAAATGTTCCATTTGATATGCTGTGAGTTCCCTATGTTAGATATATCAGCAATAAAGGAGGACTATGATTCTGCAACAATAGAGGAGTATAATTCTGTTCCAAAACAATGTGAAGTGAAGAAAAGCGATGCATATTGTGCACAGACAACTGGTGCATCTGTGGATGTGAGAATAATGGAGTGTAATTCTGTTCAAAAAGTATGTGAAATGAAGAAAAGCAATGCATATTGTGTAGAGGCAACTGGTGCATCTGTGGATGTGGATTCAAGCATCAGTCTTGTATATCGATACTGCCAAAAGCTTGGACACAAGTACGAATAATTCTTGCGGAGTAAATATCAAATACTGTCTTCATTTGAATGAAAATATTAATACTTGCTAACATGCTTATCTAGCCAAGTTTCTCAGAGGCATGAAATTCTTTTGCGAAAACTTTGGACTAGTTCAGTTTTTGGAAAGTTCTCCCTTTTTCCGTAATAAACAGAAACATAAAAATGGAAAAGTAGATTGTTCAGCAATTTAGTGAGTGTCTACAAGATAATGAAGTTTAATAGCCAATGAAACTATATTGATCGCATTCTCCAACCCAAAATAGAAGCCAGTATTGCATTTTTGATAATTATAAAATGTAATGTATAGCCGTATAGGTATTGAAGATTGATATTTGCTGTTTATGTACAAGTCTATAACACAATATGATTCATGTGTAATTTGAATACCATACGTCTGTACATATATGCTTTGTCCTTATATGCATTATTTGTCCATAGGCCTGATCTATTTACTGCTTACAATATTAGTTCTGCTACTCCCCCAGGAATGCCAATCCAAAGCCAGAATTTGAGACCATTGTGTCCCCACAGCAGTTGTACCGATGCAAATTAACATTACCAATGAATGCAGCTTTTCAAACCATTATTGGCCCTGATAGTTTGAATGCTCGTGTAGCTAAAAAATATGCATGCTTGGAGGCATGCAAAAAGCTGCACGAGTTGGGGGCACTGAATGACCATCTTCTCCCTGCTAGCACAAAGCCTACCTCCCAAAAGGATCTGGATTTGCATTCTCAAGTATCAACGTCAGGTGCAGGTCAGTGTTAACTTGCATCAGCATTTGCTTTGATTTTCTCTTACCCTCACCTTGCTTCTGTGCTCTCAGGGTCAGTTTGGGTGGAGGCTTTTTGAAGGTTATGTAGGGGAGTGCTTTGGAGGGCTTAGTTGTATATCTTGATGGATATATTGTTTCTAAAAGCATGTAAAGGGTGACTGAAAGGTTCTATGTAGCCCTTCAATTTTTTATATAAAATATCAGATATTTATAAAAAATAGGCTTAGTCCTCCAAACTGACCCCTTGTATATTTTGGCTTCTTTTTCATTGGCTTCTACCAAAAGCTGATGAAAAAGAGAAAGGAATTGCATGGGCATGATAGAGAGCGGGAAGAGCATGGGGCGGGACTGGGCCTTGGGCCCACTTCTGTGGGCTGAGTTAGGGCTGTCATTAGAGTTTATTATTATTATTATTATTATTAAGTTAATGTTATGTTTTACTTTGGGCCTAGTTTTAGTAGAGTACTTAGTAGAGTTATTATGGGCTTAATTAGGATTTAATTAATTTGGGCTTGATTAGGGTTTCTCTTAGAAGGCTATTTATACCCCTTTCCAGGGTTCATTCTATTTCATCCTGGAATAAAATTGGTTTTAGCCTTTTGGCTCTGGGCAACGGTATTTTTATCGTTGATTATCTGGGCAACGGTTTACCCCGTTGATTTTTTTTTCTGTTACACAACAATTGGTCCGACCTGCCGGATCCCGTCCTGCCAGGATGATGAGATCTCAGATCGACCGCTGGACAGAGATGGTCGCCAAGCAAACTCGGATGAATCAAACCCTAGAGGAGCACGGCATGCGTCTGGCAGAGATTGGCGCATCCCTGGCAGCACTTACCAAGGCGCTAATTCCTCCGGTCATGACGGAAACAAGCCTGGGTGCAGTTGGCCGCCCCACCGTATCTGCGCACAGCAGCGACAGACAGCTGTGCAGCGTCACTTCCTCTTTGGCTGCATTTACAGCGGTGGAGGAGCATTCAACGGCGGTGGCTTCACTTGACGCGGCAGCAGCATCCTCGTTCGGAATTGGACCGTGCAGCACCTTTCTCACGATGTTGCCCTCGTTTAACAGAGAAGAACTGATCAGCTGGGTTGATAGGGCTGAGCAACAGTTCGAATTGAACTGTACTCCGCCGGGAAAGAATGTGGCAGCCGTTGTAGTTGTGATGGAAGGGCCAGCTTATATTGGTTGACCTGGTTACGGGCACGAAAGCCGGTCATGTCATGGGATGAGCTTACACAGGGACTGGGGAGGAGTACATCTCAATTTTCCCTAAAGATACTGGGCAGCCCCCGGGGACAAATGTGAGCCGGTTTCCGGATTTCAACCTTGAGGATAAGGTTATTTTGAAGGAGAATGGATTGATAGAGAGCGGGAAGAGCATGGGGCGGGATTGGGCTTGGGCCCACTTCCGTGGGCCGGGTTAGGGCTGTCATTAGAGTTTATTTATTATTATTAAGTTAATGTTATGTTTTACTTTGGGCCTATTATTAGTAGAGTACTTAGTAGAGTTATTATGGGCTTAATTAGGATTTAGTTAATTTGGGCTTGATTAGGGTTTCTCTTAGAAGGCTATTTATACCCCTTGCCAGGGTTCATTCTATCTCATCTTGGAATAAAATTGGTTTTAGCCTTTTGGCTCTGGGCAACGGTATTTTTATCGTTGATTATCCGGCAACGGTTTACCCCGTTGATTTTATTTCTGTTACACAACAGGGCATATTGTATTTTTCTTATTAAGTGCTTCCAGGAACTACAAAGAGAAAGGAATTGCATGGGACATCAAGCATCAGTGCACTGGCTGGATTGTGGGGAGAGGTGGAAGCTGAAGTAAATTTTCAAGCTTATAAAATGGTCTTCTGCTCCAATGATCCAGAAGTGAACTATTCCAGTTTTGTTCTTTTAATGGAATCAAAGCTAGATGATGATGTTGGAAATATAGAAGTGGAACTCTACTTGCTTAGAAGAATCGTTAAGGCTTCTATCTCCTCACTTGGGCTAATAACGCTGGATGCAGATCAGGTTCCAATGAATTCTGGGCTCTATTTTAAAAAAAATCTTCCATGTATAAGTAGTTCTGGAAAATGGGGTGTTTCATTCTTTTTATAAGAATTAAATTATTCTTTGCTATCAGGTCAGGAAAGCAAAGAGGTTTCAGGAATTCTTCTTTAATGGGCTGTTTGGGAAACTGTTTACGCGCGCATCAGGTGAAAGGAAGCTCATATTTAACATGGAGGAATCTCTTTGGGAGAAATCATATATGTACTTGCTCTTGCCCCTTGATACAGTAGGCCATAGTTCTGAACGGTTGTGCATTGATTGGAATGGAATTCATTCCTCTGTTTCTGCTGTGGAATATCTGAAGAAAAATGCTTGGCTTAATGCTGAGTTGTCTGAAGCTAACAGAAGGAATGGTTTTCTCCTTAGAAATGATTTGGATGCAATGGATACTGATTCTATAGAGCAGATTCACATGGCCAATATATCAGTTCCTAGAAATAGTGTGAGGGGTATGGTTGTTGTTGCTATTCATTCGGGAAGAATCTATTCTATCTTGGAAGCTGTTCCTGATTCATCCTCTAGAAGTCCATTCGAAGGTAGCACTGAAGAAGCCCCATCTACCTATTCATCCTATGATGACTACTTCCAGAAAAGGTACATTGTCCTGACTCTGCATCCCTTTAATCTGTTAACATTTCATGGTAAGGATAACTTTTACTATTAATCACTTCATCAGGTACGGGATTACTCTGTTGTATCCTGAACAGCCGATATTCCTGCTAAAGCAAAGCCATAATGCCTATAATCTTCTCGTGGACTTCAGAAACACAGGTTAGCTCTTCTCCTTTAAGTAGTTATTAATACCACGTATATCTTAGCCCTATGGTATTCATATTCCTACACAACCTCTCTTACTTTTTTTGAATTCCATGGCTTACCGGTGGGCGTAGCTCAACTGGTAGCAAGGGAGTGCCACAAGGGTTAGGTCCCGGGTTTGAATCCCGGCAACTGCGATGAGGGGTTACTATGCTAAAAATGCATAGGGCCTCTGCAAGTACCGGGGACAGAGCCCCACTCTCTATCTATCAGATTGGGATTATAGTCCAATTTACATCCTCCCAACGTACCGTCCGGTCGGGGTTGGGGGCCCCTCAGGGATGGGGTGTCATCCTTTGTTTTGAATTCCATGGCTTGATTCATGGGTTGTATGAATAAAAAATCTGTTGAATCTCATCTACCATTCTTCACAATGCTTTATTATTCCTAATTTAATACCGTCTACGATTCTTAATCTTTTCATACTATCCTATTCAGATTCCCATTGTGAATATAACCCCTTATCCCCCCTCATTAAAGCCAATTAACAATTTAGTGTTCATTTCTGTTTCTGGTGGCATAGTGCATTTCCTTTTATACAGAGCAGCAAAGAATGGTTTATAGCATGTTACAAAGTCGATTCTCCCTCTGTAAAAGAAGTCATGTTTGAACACTTTTTATGCCCTAAAAGAAGAGACCACATTGATGAAGTGAAGATAGTTTTCCTTGTTATTAGCCAAAAAATAGTCACATAAGTTACAAATGTTAACTTATGTTACACCAACATTTTTTTAAGAAGTGTTACTGTGATTCATTGGTGATTCGGACAGTTGCATCTAACAAAATATAAAAATGAAGTCAAACATGACTTCATTTTCTTTAGACAGAGGTAGTATTTCTTTATTGTGGAAATGAATCAAATAGTTTACCGCTTTAAAAATTTTCAACCACTATCAGTTTTTGAGCGGTGCCTATTGAACATTTTTTAAATGAGCATTTTTCTTGTTTTTTCTTTCAGGATTGTCATCGCTAAAGGAGCCAGAGAATAACAGCAAAACGGCTAACATAAAACCACATCAGCATGCTCACATTCCACCAGAACTTCTTATCAGTATTGATATTAAATTGGATGTCTTGAGGTCATTTTACTTGATGCCCTCACTGATGCATAGACTCCAGTGTTTGATGCTTGCCAGCCAGCTAAGAAGAGAGATTTGTTGTCATTATGGTGACTCAAATGTGCCAAGCTCATTGGTATACCACTTTTGTTTTGGTGGAAACATTACTCTGTATTGCTTTAGGGAAATTACCCTAAATAGGACTAAAAACGTTTGTGTTCCAAAATAGGACTATCATGTTTTTGGGAGTATTTTCCAAACATGGCAGTAATTACTCCTATTTTGGGAATAAAAACATGGCAGTCCTATTTTTGGATTTTCGATCTTTTTTACTCCTATTTCGGGAATTTTCCCATTGCTTTATCACTTTAATTTGTTATAATGGATAACTAAACATTATTTATGATCAGGTTCTGGAAGCTCTCACAACTCAGAGGTGCAATGAGATTTTTTCCATGGAGCGTTTAGAGTTGCTAGGAGATTCAGTTTTGAAATATGCTCTGGGTTGTCACCTCTTCCTCAAATATCTCGATAAAGATGAAGGAGTGCTCTCTGACAAGCGTAGATGGGCAGTGTGCAACTCAACACTTCATAGGTTGGGCATCAGCCGTAATATACAGGTATTATGATATGAGCATATGTTATTCATCAAAAATCAATACGAAATTGGCCGGATAAGTGGCAGGGAATCCACAGGCTAGAAGTAGAAATGGAAGAGGCTGATCAAAAGTTAAAATGATCTGTAGGACAAAAAATGAAAATTTCTTCTAAATTTATCTCCCTCTATTCATAGAAGAAGGGTTCAACTAGTCTGCGTGCTTTTATGAAAAGATTCTGTTTTCTTTACATCAGTTTTCAATTTCTAAAAGTTCTACTGTTTCACCCTTTTCAGGGATATATACTAGACCGTCCATTTATTCCCCGCACATGGGCTGCTCCAGGTCAGCTTTCTATTTGGCCTTCTCCATGCAAACATGGGGTGGACACCTTAGAAGTGCCAGTGAATGATGATTTCTCCAGAGATGATGAGACGGTTGAAATCGGGCGGTGCTGTGATAGAGGTCACAGATGGATGGTATCGAAGACTATATCTGACTGTGTTGAAGCACTGGTGGGGGCATATTATGTTGGTGGTGGGTTGGTTTCTTCTATTAAGTTGATGAAATGGGTTGGTATGGATGTTGATCTTGATGATCTATCCATGGTGAATGATGCCATAAAAGCTGCTTCTCTGCACTCCTATATGCCAAGCACTATTAACATTGAAAGCCTCGAGTCAAAAATCGGTTACACATTTTCTGTCAAGGGGTTGATATTAGAGGCCATAACACACAAAACTAAGCAAGAGCTAGGTGTTGGTTGCTGTTACGAGGTTGCTGATAATATAACTACCCTTATTAAACTATGAAAGAATTCCTTGTTTGGTCCCATGAACAATCATGTCATTTTCACTTTCAGTCCCTGACTTTTCTATTCCACTTTTTAGAGCACAACCAGGACTTCCATATCTAGCCAATTTTTGTTATCATTCGAGGTTGAGTTTTTGTGGGATAAGTAACTAGAGAGACCGAAAGTGGCAATAAAGTCATAGTCGTGCTCAGAAATCGGGAAGAATGATAGTATCGGACCATAATAAAAATGACCCACTGGGACCAACAGTTGTACTCCGTATATCTTTTTATTTTTAAAACTGTTATTGTTTTTGTTTTATATCCTGCTCACTTTCTCTTCTTTGTTAACTTTTCCCAGAGGCTTGAATTCCTTGGAGATGCCGTGCTAGACATTCTAATCACTTGGTATCTCTATCAAAACCACACTGATGTTGACCCTGGGGAGTTGACAGATTTACGTTCTGCTTCTGTCAACAACACAAATTTCGCTCTTGCTGCTGTGAGGGCAAATCTTCATCCCCATCTTCAGCACTGCTCAACCAATCTTGAAAGCCAGATATTGGAATTTGAGAAGTCCATATCTAACTCTAGCTGCACTGCAGAGTTGCTTGTGGGCGGGAAAGCTCCCAAGGTTTGCAAAATTACTTAAGCTAAGTTTGGAACCCGCGAATTGGTAGGGAAAGAAAAAATGCCAAGGAAAATTGTTGAATTTTTCTTGTGTTTGGTTTGGTATGACGAAAGCATTTCACAGTCTTTATACATAGGTATTTCTCAATCAAACAAGTTTGAAGACATACCTAAAATTGAATTATTGATTCCAAAACATTTTTTTCCCTCTAGTTTTGTTTCCTTCAAATTTCCCCTGTTTTCACCCGTATTTTCTATCGATAGCATTTTACAGGTTCCAAACGGATCCTATGTGTGTTCTGATCTTTAGTACACCATACTTATTTGTTATTATTTTACAGGAATTGGGAGACCTTGTGGAAAGTATTGCAGGGGCAATACTTATTGATACCAAACTTGACTTGGGCAAAGTCTGGGAAATCTTTGAACCGATACTCTCACCCATTGTTACTCCTGAAAGTTTAGAACTCCCTCCATATAGGGAATTAATTGAATTGTGTAGCTCTTCTGGCTACTTTTTGAAACAATATTGGCAAAGAAAGGGGGAAGCAGTGCATGCCGAACTTACAGTACAGCTTGAAGATGAGTTACTGGTTGGAGAGGGGCTTGGGCAGTGCAGAAAAGATGCGAAAGGGCAGGCTGCTCTTCTTCTACTAAAGAACTTAAAGGTTGAAACTTGAAACCTCCCCTATTTCTTTTTGCTCCAGTCTACTGCTCTACTCTGTCAATGTGTCATGTGTGTAGTATGCATTTTTTTGTTTATTAGTTGCTATGAAGCCATGGTCGACTTTCTACCATATATAATGCTGGGATAAAGTTTGGAAGTATATCTTTGTAGAAAAAGGAAGTTTTAATTGTCCCAAAATCAAACAAAGCTAATTTTTCATGCCATTTGTCAAAAATTGCAAAAAGAAAACATCACAAGTTAGATTTGATAAATTTAGTTAAACTAACAAATATTAAATTTGAAAAAGATATAAATTCACTTCATGATTTGTGATAGTTGCACCTTTCCAAAAGTTAATGTTTTAAACTGATCAAAGATGACTCTTATTCGTGACAGAGGTAGTATCTGCTAACATATCACCTTTCTTTCATTTGTGGAAAATACGTGTTTGTGAAGTTGCATGCTGTTAGCGATTTGCAAACTGGTCATTTAATACTCTATGCTCCATCTTTAAGTGTAATTTCTTGTCACATCAATTTTATAATCAATGTCAATTTGCATGTCTATTGGCAAAAAATACACTTGGATTTCCTTGCCACTAGCGAATAGAATTGACTATGTGGTTATGAGTTGGAGATTTACATAAGCTCTAGTTGTTTGAATGCAACTCTAATTGTTTTTACAGAGTAGAGGAGTCTCATCAACGAAGAACAGACCAGAGACCGACCTTGTTGTTCCTTTAGCAGGAGTTCCTCTGTTAACTGCTGATATCTCTAGCAATCCTAAATCAAATAACAATATTCCAGGTATGAGGCTCTTTGTCTCCCTTAGAGGGAATGACATCTCCTTCATTTGAACTCTATCCACCTGTCATCCAGTTCAAAAGCATGGATCTATAACTTTGTTGGAATATGTGACTGACAATCACCCCATGCTACTTATAATAGATTTTCCGAATACTATGTTGATTTTCCCAGCAAGGTGTTATCTTTATAGGCAGTGAACTAGCAATTTGATACCGACCTTATCAGTAAGTTGTTCTTTCATGAAAGACTATAGATGTATACAATCTTTCAAAAATTAGCATGGTTTAGGTTATAATGCTGAATTGACACGGTAACGACATGGTCTATGGAGTTGTAATCTTTTCTTATGTGTTCCAGCTTCAAAATATATGTATGGAGACTTGCTGACTTTGGCATTGTGAACTGTATGCGTGTGAGATGCGTGCACATGCGAGTTGCGTGCGAGTGCATAGTTATTAAAAGTTTTTAATGTTGAAGTGTCATAAATTGGAACTCAAACAATAGAAATCAGTATATTGGCTTCGCAACTATGCCTCTGCTTTTAGTCGTGAAAGAAAGAAACTTAATGCTGATCACGTGTATGTAGATATTTATGGACGTGTACTGAACCTATGAGAAAATAGGGCCCAGACAGTAAGCCTTGTTCTCATGAATGCTGCTTATTTTTTATATTTGCAGAAATTCCGCCAATCAGCGTGAGAAAGGGAGGACCAAGGACATCACTGTTCAGCCTATGCAAGTCACTTCAATGGCCAATACCCACATTTGATGCATCCGAGACTAAATCAAAGTAAGCAAAGTTAAAACTAAATTTTTACTTCGTCCCAAAAAAGGAAATTTATTTAAGCAATTCTTTTTTGGAGTTGGAGAGTACATTTGGTAGTCAAACATGACTTATTTTGCCTAATATGGCCAGCAAAATAATGAAATAATAAGATAATAGAAGATAGAAGTATGTAACTCTTGACTAATATGGCATTTTGGCTTAAAGGGGTTTTACCAAACATTCCCCCCTTGAGAAAATTCAGCTATATAACTCTTACCAAATGCGCCCCTAATATTGTTTGCCCTCAAAAAAATACTCCTGTTTTCCTTCTTCTGTGTGTGACGAAGCATTCAAGATAGTAACCAGTAAAGCCTATTGTTGTCTGGTCAGGTCTCTGATTGAATTTGGCGAGGGTTCTGAAAGGAGGACTGGATTTATCAGTTTCGAATCCCGAATCACCTTGACGATTCCAAATGTTGGAGTGATTGAACTCTCGGGTGAGAAAAGACCCGACAAGAAGAGTTCTAGTGATTCTGCTGCACTTGCCATGCTCCTTGAACTTGAACGACAAGGGAAAATCACCATTCGTAAAGAGTAATCTTTTCTCTGTGCATGAGCTATTTTTGACGTAGGGACTAGGGATAACGAGCTGGTTTTGGAAGTAACTGTGTATCTAATTCTAATCGGGGCTGATGGTAGCAGGAAGGTGTGTTTATCCTGTATAATCCAAATTTAACACACCCGAGTACACATGCAATATTGAAGTTAAATTTGGTGCAAGTAGCATTTAGATGATGAACTGACTGAAAATTGTAAATACTATTCGGTGGTAACTCTGGCTATCTACTTGCATTTAAAATCTTTCTGGCTTTTGCCCTCCTTTCTATTCATGGTTTCCATCTCAAAGATTCTATTACTGTGGCCACTGCACCTGTGCTGCCGTGCAATACCCGTGCGATGCACGGAGTAAAATTTATTTGGTGAAATATATTGTTTATGATAAATATTAAAAAGGTGATTAATTATAACTTTTCATGTAACTGCACTAGAGGTTTCATGCATATGGAAGAGTAATTATGTTATAAAATGGCATGAGAAAGTGTAATACAATTAATACTTATCCAAAATAATTAAATCCCTCTTCAATAATTAATATTAGACAAGTCGTGCTAATTCGTCCTCGAGTCCATGCCTCTACGATAAAAATATATATGCATGTCAGCAAGATTAAGTTTATGTGCATCAAAATAACACATTCTACACTTCCATCTTCAAGGGAAACAAGCAATCGAGCATGCCACTGCCACATGAACGTATTAAGCAATACTCTCCTTTATTACTAATTTCTGCTTTATCTACTAGCCTAGTATAGGGATGGACTCGGGCCGGGTGGCCCGACCCGGAACCGGTCCGGGACCGGTACTGTTCCGGCCCGGCCTGACCCGGTGGCCCGGTCAGTGACCGGTCCGGGTAGGCCCGGCTCGTGGGTTTTCCGGTCCGGGCTCGGGTCACCCAAAACAAGGCCCGACCCGCCCGGGCCCGGTTCGGGCCAAAAACTTTTTTTTTTCAATTTTTTTTTAAATTTTTGGGTTGGGCTGGGTATTTTGGGCCATTTGGGGTGGTTTGGGGGTTGGGGGTGGGAGGGGGGTTAATTAGGAAGAGGAAAACAAAAAAAAAATTATAATGGGAGTGGTCAGTGGTGTGTGTAGTAGCCTCATAGTGGTTACTCGGGCCGGTCCCGGGTCCACCATTTCTGACCCGCCGGCCCGCCCGGGCCTAGGTCCGACCTGGACCCGGCCCGGACCTGAGTCCATCCATAGCCTAGTATGATCAAAAGAGGACTGGTGTGTCCGTGTGTGTAGTAGCCTCAATGCCTCGTAGTGAATGCCTTCACTGTTTTGCCTTTTGCGTCATTGTAGATTTGTAGTTAGGATTTAGAACAGACTACTCTACCAGTTTGTACCGAATAGTGAAAATTCAAAACATCTACACTATTTGCAAAGAGAACCTAGAAAGTATATATTTGTATAAGAGGCATAAAACAAAGAGAATAATGATAATGAATAAAAATGATCTTTGTACACACCAATACACACTATAAATACCATCTATTTTTACCATTTCACATTTCTCTTTCACCGTCTCCTCTCTTCTCTCTACCGTTCCCTCCTCCCTAGTCCCTACTCACTCTTCTTTATTTTTTCTTCCATCTTCATCGCTTTCATCTTCATCCAACTTCCATTTTTATCATCTTGTGTCATCCCTCATCTCCATTACCATCTTCCATCTTTATCATTTTCATTTTCATCATTTTCTATCTTTCCCACTTCATATTTCAATTTTTAAGATTCACCAAAGATGGAGAGTCACCGGAAAACCAAATCGAAGATGAACAACTACCGAAGTTATTGTCTGTATCGTATATAAAAATCGTTCGACTTCTTAAATAATTATAAAGTGTGTTTGTATGAAGAAATAAAACTTAAAATTTATAAATAAAAGGCGCCAGAAAACAAACCAGAGATGTAAAGTCACCTGAATTATTGTCTCCATCATTTTAAACAATTGTCTGTATCGTCCAAAATACTAATATGGTTTGTCTGTGTGAACAAATAAAACTGAAAAAATAGTAAATGTCTGTAACATTAGACCACAAACAAAATAATGTTTGTGAATAAATATTGATTTTTGTGCCTTTTTACAGAGATGATAGTGTTTGTGGCACAGAAACCGATGTTTGTGTACATACATTAATTGTATGTGGTGCTTGAGAAATGTATGTTCTTGTACATTTTTTTGCTGTGTCAAACATTTTTTGTGAGGTAAGGGTCGGATTGATCCTCGAAGTTGCATAAAAAAGGGTCAAATAGGTTCTTATATAGGAGGCTCTGTCCGGCCGTCGCCATTCGGGGTGGTTCTCGGTGGATTTTTTTGATGAAATTTTTTGAGCATCTTATTCATTAAGTCTAGTTTACTCATATCAAATTTCAAGTAAAACTCCAATCGGGAAGGCATTCAAATGAAGTCTTGAAGATAACTACGCAATTAAAAGCGCAGTTACCTTCAAGAATGTCTATGGCCGATTTGGATGTTACCAAACGGACCCTAATGGTCTGTGGCACTTGAGAAATGTCTATACTTGTACTTTTTTTGTCTGTGCCATACAAACTATACCAAATTTGGTACAAGACAATCTTAGTGGGACGGACCGATAAGGTAAAATGTGACAATCATAGCGGAACAGAGGTAGTAATATTTAGGAAGTCACAGACGATTTTTATATACGATACAAACAAATATTCAACAATTATTCATCTCCAGTTTGATTTTCCGTCGACTCTTCATCTCCAACGAATCTTAAAAATTAAAAAATGAAGTGGAAAAGATGGAAGATGATGATGATGAAAATAATAAAGATGAAAGATGGTGATGGAGATGAAAATGACACAAGATTATGAATATAAAGGGGTGAAGATGAAGGCGATGAAGATGAAAAGAAAAAAAAAGATTGAGCGGGGAAGGGAACCATAGTGACTAGTGAGAAGAGAGGAGAGAGGAAAAGAGCAGATAGGGAAGATGGTAAATGTGAAATGAAAAAATAGATTGTAATTATAGTATGTATTGGTGTATACATGTATATAAAGAACATTTTTGGATAATGAAACACTATTTGCACGAATGGAAACACGCTCTTAAATGTAATTTTATCCAGAAGCATTCTATTTGTAAACAATTAATTTAATCAACAATTTTAGGTAACTAGTTAACACAATAAGTTGCCTATAACCAATACACCAATCTGCACATCAAAACAGCCAAAATAGCCAATTAAATGCTAACAAACGATTACCGAACAAGCTAGACCATTAATTAAATAGTAAAAAATGATTGAATTGTATCACCATTTAGATATGTATTTGCATTAATTTTGATTTTACTTTAGTTTACATATAAAATTTAAATGGGATTCTGTGTAGTTTTCTGCAATATAATATAACTAATTTAATTCATTTCTGTGTATAAATGTAACGTATTGCGTTTATGTTTGAAAACAATTACATACAAATGTATTGTAATAATTCATTCTTATGCAACAGTTCTTAACACTTAACAATTAGAAAATAATGGTGTGAAATTTTTCAACAATAATTTTATTTTTGTAAAATTGGTAAACTTAGAAATTGTAAGGCTCAATTCTGCTTGAATAATTGGACAAATTGACAACACTAAAGCTATTTGTACATGTCATTTGTACACCACGTTGTACACAAACAATTCGATCGGCGTGTAAAATGCTGTGTAGGGTCTACACCAAACATTTCTCAATTGACGATCACTTGATTCATAGCTCGTTTGGTGACCCCGTTTTTTCGGCTTATCAACCAACTTTTTCATCAAACACGTAACTTTTGATTTTGTAATAATAATAAAAAATAAGGTTGAAGTTACTTTTCTGACTGTATTGACTGAAGTTACCGGAGAAAATCATTTTACCTATTTTTTCATGTCATGTTTTTCTTTATTTATTAATATTTTTTTTCATAAGTCAGGAGAATCAGAACTTAATAAATTTCAACAGAATTAACGGATTCAACCAATTTGAGTATTACCGAATAACCTCTCAGTTTTATACGTGTAAAGAAAAAATTGGGTGTTCAAACGAGTGGACTCGGTTGATCCCTTACTCGCTCAATTTCGGTCTGCTTGCTCACTTGTTTCTTATCGCAGCATTCTGATCCAACTCAGAGAGCTGCTCGGACTCCATATTGCCATATTGGCATCAACTTGTCCAAATCAAAGAACTCCAGGACATCCCATTTCTCGCATCAAGGTATCTCTAACTCCATCGAATTTGCTCTCTGTTTGTACTTCATAGCCATGTACAACACCTATGTAAGCTCAACTGTCTCAGTAAAATGTAAAGGGTGTGCTGCTTTTTCATCCTATGGTAATCCATACTGTACAAAAGACAGGCTTAACAACTACCCCTTGTATAATTCATCGTCACCATGCTGCTTCTGTTGCGCAAATTCGATGTGTAGAGTCCCACTAGGCCCTTGCTATGTCTATGGTCTGAGGCAGTCCACTCTGATTCAGTGGCCACCTTGTAAAAAAGTGTTCTTGAGCAGCTTAGATAGCACGTCTAATACGAATTCCCCCAGTCTCGGCTTTGAAAGAAAATGCTCTTATAAGAAATCTTGCTCTTTTAATGAGGTGAATGTGCGTGGACGAAGAGGGAGATTAAGGTCTCTGGGATTTCCGGATAATAGTGAAAGAGAGATTTTTTCTGATGTTGGTGTGGCTGAGGTTTTGCTCAGTTTGCTTACGGAGAGTGTGGATGAGGATTTCGATGATTTGAGGGCAAGAAAAAAAAGTTCTTGGAAGAATAGAGTGTTAGAGATTGAAGAGAGTGACAATGTTGAAAAAAATTACATCCATAAGAAGAAAGGGAGTTGGGAATCAGGTGTAGTTAGAAAGTCAAAGTGGGAAGCTGAGTCGGAGGAGGAGGATAATAAGACAAGAAAAGAACATAGGAGAGAAAAGGGGGAAGGATCTCTTTTGAGAACTGATCGGGAGGCCGTGGGGGGTAAACTGGTCAGACCAAGAGCGAGGGAAGAAGATAAAGATGTTTTGTTGAGCAGTGAAAGGCAAAAGGTAACAAGTGTTTTCAAAGAAGAAAAAGAGCATTTGTCTAAGAGTGAAGATTTTTCAAAAGAGAATCATGAGAAAGTGAAAAAAGAGGGGTCTAGCTGTTCTTCATACTACTCAGCTTCTTCAACAGGTGAGCTAGAAAGTGATCATGAGGTGCGGATTGAGCAAGAGCAAAATAAAAGGCATTCGAGGAATGAAATAGTGGAGAATGTTAGGAGGTTTGAGGATCAGTCCAAGGAACAAGGAGCGATTTTGAGAAAGGATGACGCATTTGGAAAACCCTTCGTAGCACCATTAGCTGACATAGAGCCCATCAATTGGAGAAAGAAATCCGAGAAGAGGCTGGGTGAGACATCAATTGAAGAGAAAGAGTTGAGGAAAGAATCTTCACATAAGCAATTAAATATTTTGGGTGTCGATGAGATTGACTATGGAAAAAAACTTATTAGTTCCTATAAGACATATGATTATAAGAAACGTCAACCCACCTCTGCTGAACAAGCAATTGAACAGTCTGAGATTCAAATAAAGCATAAGAAAGTATTAGATCCGGCAGTAAATGCCACAAGTCCTTCAGAACCCTTGAATCAAATGATGAAATCCAGAGATGGATCTGGGAAGTATTCATTAAAGATTTGTGAACCTCAATTTCAAGAAGTTGATCTTAGAGGGAAATTTGCTAAAGAAAGAGAGTCTAGCATTATTAAAAAGAATGGTGAAGCATCTTCAAATATCTTAGGTAAGCAACACAATCAAGTTCAAGAGTTAGCTATACAAGTGACTAGAGATGAACATAGAACTTACATTTCCGAGAGGCAATCAAACATGGAGTTTATAGATCAGAAAGAATATAAGTCAAGCCTTCAGTTGTCAACTTTAGAATCCGGAGGGAAATCTTCTCAAACAAGCGCAAAACTTGCAGAAGGTACCACTTCAATGCATGGAAAGGATCCACTGGTGGCATGTGGAAATGATGCCACCAATTTTAATGGCAATAACACTAACACGCAAGTATCTCAGGTACACTCATCTTCTCAATTGTCAAGTTCTTCGAAATTCGAATCACTAAGTGGTTCTAGTGGGCCAATGGAACAATCCTCAGCTAGACCATACCAAATACAGCGAGAACCATGTGGTGAGGTCAAAAGGGACGGGGTTGATGCGAAACTTTTAGAAGAAGTTGTTTCTCTAAAACATGGACTTGGTGAGTTTGTTGAGAAAGTAAGGTGTGAAGTTACCAGTCCTGAAATTCAAGGGGTGAAAAGATTTTCACGTGAAACAAAGTTGATACATGAGGGTGAGCAGAATGAACAACGAGAACCTCAATTACATGAAAATGATTCTGAATGTTCTTCTTTGGCAAATCAACCATCATCATCTATTCAAGAAACATCAAAAACCGAAATCAAGAGATCTGGACACTCCCTATGGCATATTATTGGAGATATAGTTAGACTCCGGTGGATTTCGCATTCTGGTAAACATATAATTGGGGCATAAATATGTTTTTCATCCCTACAATATTTTATTTTAGGTCCCTGAAATATTGTTATGCGGAGTATTGGTTTTCATCTCCATAATTTAAATTGTTCTTTAATCCCTCTTCAATTAACTCTCCATGAACATCCATTATTAAAAACAGACGTTGCTCATAGAACTCAAGTCTTGCTTTTGAGACGTAAGTTGAAAGTCAGAATGTTGAGTATTGCTTATCCCTATCTCCTCTAATAGTCTTCTAAGAGTTATAAAAAGTTGATGTAGAAAGGTCCGGTGAGCCACATCAATTTCTTCAAACTAAGGTTCACGGAGAGTTGGAGAGGGGCTAGAAAGAAAGCAACTTAAGTGATCGGGATGTTACAACAAAAAAATTACAGTGACCTAAAAAATGCTATATTTGCATGGATAAAACATATACTCCCTCCGTATTTAAAAGTTCCCTACACTTTCCTTTTTGGGTTGTATTTAAAAGTTCCCTACACTTTCCCTTTAAAGAAAGTTTCATCTATGAAAATACATTATTACCCTTATCTTTTTACTATGGGTCATCCGGAAACAGTCTCTCTGTGCTTTAGTACAGGGGTAAGACTGCGTACATCCGACCCCCCCTTACCCCACCGTAGGTGGGAGCCTTTGCGGCACTGGGGTAAATGAAAATGACCCTTATCTTTCTACCCTCATTCAATTATATCCTACCCCACTACTCTTTTAATTATTCTCTCACCTACTTTATCCTTTATATTTTACTTTATCATTTATCTTCTCTACCCCTACTATTTCATCTTAAATTGTGTGCCCAAAGCTAATGTAAGGAACTTTAAAATATGGAGGGAGTATAAGCCTTTTTGGTAATTATTTCAACTCCAGGTTTTGGAAGAAGGAGTTCATCACATCAATCTACTACAAGTAGTGAAACCTGGATTGCTGGTCATGTACCTGAGGGCAACAATGGTTTGAAGCCGGAAAACATATTGCAACAAAAATCTTCCTCTGATCACCTTAAACGAAAAGATATTCAAGTTCAGAGAGAAGTATCAAACTCATCGCAAAGCAACTCTGTTGTATCGAACGAAGAAATGTTGGAAAAGACTGTTGAAGGCAGAGAGATAATTGTTTCTTCACCAGCTTCTTCAAGTGGAATATCATTTCCTGATGAGGTGGTCAAAGATGGGGGGGAAATGAGGCAAAGGAGATTTCAGAGGGCCAATCAAGTTGTGAAAGACAGGTTTGATGAATGGGAAGAAGCTTACAGGTTAGAATATGAGCAGAGGAAAGTTGATGAAATGTTTATGAGGGAAGCATTAGTGGAAGCCAAAAAAGCTGCCGCCAGCTGGGAGGTCCCTGTTGGGGCTGTACTCGTGAAGGGCGGAAAGATAGTTTCTCGTGGAAGCAACCTGTAAGTTTTTTAGTGTTTTAGTGCCTGTTCGGAAAAGGTTATTTGGCTGGAATAGTTGAATCTTTTCAAGAAAAAGTGTTCAGTAAAATCAATTTCAGCCAAAATAATTAGGCAAAAGCTAATTATTCCAGGCTTTCCCATTATTCTTATCCTGATTACTCTGTTATAAGCAAGATAAATCAGAGTTGGTTTCTAAATGGGCTCTTAATGTTTTATGAATCAATTTTTTTTCACATCCTAGTTTTATCCCCCCCCCCCCCCCCCCCCCACTCAAATAACCCTCCATTAAGGACCCACTGATTTTAAGGTGGAAATTAATTCTGTCATAAATTGGCACAAATATCCCTATTGATTTCTAGGTATAGGAAGCGACCAGCAAAAGTGAATTACATGTATGAGGGAAACTAACTCATGTCACTTTGTTTTGTTTTATTCGGGTTGCTAAATGACCACTCATTTGTGAACTAATGCATTTATTTGAGAAAGAAGTGAGTGTCTGTCTTAATAATCCATGTAAATGATGTCCCAGTGTAGAAGAGTTGCGTGATTCCACTGCGCATGCAGAAATGATTTGCATTAGAGAGGCTTCAAATATCCTTCGGTCTTGGAGACTTTCGGTAAATGTCCATGCTTTTGTTGTTTAAAAAGTGAATGTTTAGTTTATTTAATCTCCCTAGAGCTGACATGGAGTGTGATTATACATATATTGGGGCAAGCTGTCAAGGGTGAATCTGTTTATAGTTGGAGAATAACTAAACAAGCGGAACATGATCCGAAATCCTGTTCAGAAAATAATGATAAATTATTGAGCCACTACTTCAGTAAGACTAATGATGTCAACCATATTCTTCCCTTCCCCATCTTATCCCAGCCTTCATGTTATGATCCAAATCTGATTTTGTTATTGCTGTTATTGTTGTTGTTGTTGTTGTTGTTATTATTTAGTACTTCATATGTTTGTTATTACTATTCTTACTATTATAATAAAATACCAATAATAATACTAATAGTATTAATAATAATTATATAATTGCTCTTGACTTTGGGTAGGGGTAATGTTACAACAGTCGTTCAGAAACTTCAAAATGCTCACCAAGACAATCTATGTTTTAGGTTTCGTGTTTTCCATATGCTCTAGTTGATTTTTTTAACCGTACAATGTGAAAAATGAGATGCGGCTGTGTTCTTCAGTTTAAGTAACACTTTACTTCGACCTTTGATTTTAACATCCAAAACAGTCTCAAAGAAAAAGCAACACTTCCTTCTCTCTTGATGTTAAATATTTTGCTTGCTGAAGTAACATATCATGTGTTGTATTGAGTTATATCTTCTGGTATTCTGAATTGTTATTTTTCTTTTTTATGTACCAATTTTATTTAACTTTATAGGATACAACACTCTATGTTACCCTTGAACCATGCCCAATGTGTGCGGGAGCGATACTCCAAGCTAGGATTGATACCGTTGTTTGGGGATCTCCAAATAAGCTTCTTGGTGCGGATGGAAGCTGGATTAGGTATATGCCATTTAAATTACCGTCGTCAATACATTATATCATACATATGTAGTAGCTGATTGATGTTAGAAGTGTTCGACTGTTTGGTAGAATTAGTCGTTGAATAGCTGATTTATATTAAAAAAAACATAAAAAAGACCTTATTATTAAGGGGTAAATAATTTAAATATCCCAAACTTTAATGGGGTGTGAGGTGTGTACCCTAAACTTGCATATGTAATATATATACCCTGAACTTTATGTAAAAAATTATTGGAATAATTATAAAATTTCAAATACCTTAAGTCTTGTTAGAATGAAATTAACATTCTATAATTTCATTTGTGAAATAAATAATATTACAACCGCTACAATTTAATTTTAATTACATCCTCATAAATGTTTTGTATATTTAAAGTTATGTACTTAACACCATAAAATTACATTTATGAAAAAATATATGGTGATGGTGCTAACACAACTTTTGTATAAAGTTTGGGGTATATACATATATATACATACATATATATATGTGCAAGTTTGGGGTACTTATGTCCACCCAGTGGCAGACCCAGAAACTCAGAATCACGGGGTCCCTACTGTAATGTAACTCTAATTAATAAAAAAATAATAAAAAGAAGTAAAATATTAAAATAACATAACGTTTCATAGTTAACGTATACAACAATTTTAAAGATATTCCAATATTTTAAAGAAATGTCCACTATCAACTAGAGCCCGTTTGGTAACACTGAAATCGGCTGAATCGGCTGATTCTACCGAAATTTATGAAGTTCGGACTGAAGTGGCTGTATTAACTGTTTTTGGTGATTATGAAAAATTATATTTAAAATATATTATATTAATAAAATAAAAAAGAAATGATATGAAAAATAGATAAAATGGTCATCTACAACAACTTCAGTTAATACAGTCTGAAAAGTAACTTCAGCCTTAATTTTCTTATTTTAACACAATTCAGCGCGCAAAATCAAAAGTTACATATTTGGTTAAAAAGTTGGTTGATAAGCCTGATAAGCCGAAAAACAGAGTCACTAAACGGGCCCTAAAATTTTATAAAGTTAATGTCCTCTATCAACTAAAAATAATCGGCATGCATATGAGAAATCAAATTTAAAAAGCCTACATTTGAAAATTTCGATCCAATTACTTTGCATTATTTTATTTGGATTTTTATTTAAAATATATTCATTAGCTTTGTTTCAATTTTAATTTAATACAATTACCAATTTATTTGTGTAACTTTAAGGACTTTGTTATTGGACTGATTTTAGTCTTAGATCAAACACATCAAGCCAAATTATGCGATTATGGCTCAAGCGACCGAATCTGCTATATTAGGAAAGAATGATATTTAAATTATATGTTATAAGATATGAAAAAAGTCATGAAAAAGTGGCTAAGATGATGCTCTACGGTAACTTCAGTCATCTCGCCGAAAAAATGTTTTTAACTTGCTTATTTGAATTATTACAAATTCAGTGCGTGAATTCAAGAATTACGCCAAATAATGCGATTATGGCTCAAGCGACTGAATCTGCTATATTAGGAAAGAATGATATTTAAATTATATGTTATAAGATATGAAAAAAGTCATATGAAAAAGTGGTTAAGATGATGCTCTACGGTAACTTCAATCATCTGGCCGAAAAAATGCTTTTAACTTGCTTATTTTAATTATTACAAATTCAGTGCGTGTATTCAAGAATTACGTGTTTCATAACGAAATTAGTTTATAAAACAGATAAGCTGGAATTTGGAGATACATACTGGCTTTACAGTAGTATTTCTTATGAAAAAAATTGGGCATAGGTTGAGAAAATTAGATGCTTTGCAGTAGTATTTCTTAGGGAAAAAAATGGGCATAGGTTGAGAAAATTAGATTAAAAGTTGGACAATAGAGGTGCATGATAACAATAGGTGGTTGTTCCATAATTTTATTTTCAAAAAAAGTAGACACATGGGGGAGTCTCCTACCGCACGTATAAACACTAAGGATCGGGCCTCCTACCGCTGCTCTAGCTCCATATTTGTGTTCTAAACTAGTTTCGATTTTATAAATACAATGATTACTTAATTTTATATAAAATATATACAAATATATATAGGTATTTTTTTGGAGGTCCATGGGATCCCGGGACCCCGTGGGACCCTTAGTGGGTCCGCCACTGGTCACACCCGTACAGAGTTTGGGATATTTAAATTATTTTTTCCTATTATTCAGTGTTTGTCATAAGTGGATAAATATATTTTTATTAAAGAGCTTATTTTATGTTCTTATGCTACGTACTATTTACCAAACATGACTTTATTAGCTTTTCAGAAAAGCTCCGCTAGCTGTTAGCATATAATTCCATCTTTTGCTTATCAATATCAAGACCTACTATATCAGTTAATAATTCACACATTAGTCATCAATCATCAGTCAGTTTATCCGTTAGTGTTTGTTACTGTTTGAGGCCAAATAATGAAAGGCTAATTTTCTTGAGGAATTTTGACTAAGTCAAAATTAAAAATTGGGGAAGGAAGATCTGGTTCAAAGGAGGCTATGCAAGGGTGACAGGTTAGCTGATGTGGTGGCTTTTTATTTTGCCATATCACTAATCCATTTGCCACCTAGGCGTTTTAAACGCTCTAATACCCCGATGGACTCAATTAGCACTGATTTGGCGATTTCATGTACCTCAAAATCACACTTGCAAAATGATGTACTCTTTACTCCCTCGCTTACAACTTGATGTACTAAATTGACACTTTTCTCGTTAAGTAGTTATAGGCGAGGGGTATTTGTCTAACTTAATTGAGTGCACTTCATAGGCTTTTCCCGGATGGAGATGGCCAGCGGTCAACAGATAAACCACCTGCTCCGGTTCATCCCTTCCACCCAAAAATGAATGTTAGGCGAGGTGTATTGGCCAATGAATGTGCAGAATCAATGCAGCAGTTCTTTCAACGCCGTAGAAAAAAGGAAAACAAGTCGGAGCCTCCTCCTCCTCCTCCATCACGCATTCCTCTATTGAGCCATCCTAACAAGTTTATAGCTAAGATGCACGATACCTTTCATCTTATGTTCTGTTTGTAATCACCATAATAACTACATGTTTTAAATTTCTAAGAGGTAGTTGATTTTATTAGTTCCGCCTAGCTCCATCGAGTGGCAGATCCATAGATTTTGTTAAATATACAAATCTGGTAAAGGATTATTGTATTGATTACTTGGATTATGAGGAATTCTCAGTAATCCGATAGTAACAGTATAGTGAACACAGAGAAATATGGAATCTATAGGAAGAAGAAAGACTTTCTCTCTCTAGCCAGAGCCCAACCAAATCCCAACTGAACCAGGCTTACTTTATTAGCCTTCCTGCCCCTGCTTATAACTCCCCGCACCAATCATATAATTTTATCAACTCCCTCCCCTTTTACCCTTCCTTACATACACCTTATTAAAATACTCCACACCCCTTGTGCTATCATTACCCTCCCCTTGAACTACCACCTTGTTCCCAAGGTGCAATTCTGGGAACTGTTTCTGAAACTTGCTCAACTCTTCGCAAGACTTCCCTTTTCCCAGTGTTCCACCCTTTTTCTTTCCACTTCTCTGTTCTCCTTCTCTCAGTTTTCCACCTCTCAGGGCAGCATTCTTTCCTTCCAGAACCATAGATATATCCATAAGTTCAGGCAATGTAGCTTTAGGATACAATTTAAGTTCTTCTTGCACCTCCTCCTTTAACCTATTAAGGTAGATTCCTTTCAACATTTGCTCATCAGTGTGTTTTAAGGGGCCCACCACCATTTCAAAACGTTCCCTGTACTCCATCACTGAACCAGTCTGCCTCAAACTAAGCATTGACCCAAAAGGATTCTGTAAAAGCTCAGGTTGGAATCTTCTCATCAGTGCCTCCTTGAACAATTCCCAGGATCTCTCCTCAGTCTTCCCTTCCCACCACTGAAACCAATTTAAGGCCTTTTCTTCCATGGCCAGGACAACTAACTCCACTTTTTCCTGTTCGTGCACCTGATTCAACTTGAAAAGCGTTCCACTCTAATAATCCAGCCATTAATATCATCTCCATTGAATAAAGGCAGATCTACCTTCCTACCGATCCTCTCAAATCCGCGATTAACAGGAGTATAACCTTGTTGGTGAGAAGAGACTGTCACACTTGAGAATTACCTCCAGAGTGGGACGAGTTCGTCTGTGTATGTGTATCGGCTCGCTTAGTCGTCCGCGACCTCCCCCTGGTTCGCCTATGACTCTGGTTGTTCGCAATCATATGCAGCTCGATCATCACCCCATCGAACTTGTCTTCTATCAATCGCACCTCTGTGCAGTTGCGTTCCAGATTCTGTTCGATACTGTTCACGTTTTGCTCGAGATTCTCCAATCGATGTTCCATTTTTTATCGCATCAATCTCATTCACTGTCCGCAGGAAGGAACTGCTGTGATACCATTGTTAAAGATACAAATCTGTTTTAAGGATTATTGTATTGATTAACTTGGATTATGAGGAATTCTCAGTAGTGCGATAGCAACAGTATAGTGAACACAGAGAAATAAGGAATCTTGAGGAAGAAGAAAGACTTTCTCTCTCTAGCCAGAGCCCAACCAAATCCCAACTGAATACCAGCCTAACTTTATTAGCCTTCCTGCCCCTGCTTATAACTCCCCGCACCAATCATATAATTTTATTAACTCCCTCCCCTTTTACCCTTCCTTACATACACCCTATTAAAATACTCCACACCCCTTGTGCTATCAGATTTCTACAAGGGCACGCCAACCGCCAAAATTTGTTGTGTACATCAGTACATGTGATGAAAAATCGTGTGTGTAACGCTCTCGATCTGGGTTTAGTCATAACCGGGTTCAGTTTGAGAAATGTGGACTTCAGAATTAACCATTTTCTTATTCTTTTAGATGGTTATATTTTTAATTGATCATAACTTATAAAAAGACATGCTTATGACTTGATGACAAGTTAAAGATGAAGGATAACTTGAATTAGAGGTTGCCGCTCTTGAATCTTCTTCTCTCATCTATTTCTTTTAATTTGGGGATAGTACTATAGGCTACAAACCTCTGACAAAAAACTGACCAAGACCTTTGGCTACACTGCAAATCCCAATGGCCCAAACTTTTCATCTCCAGTCATATTGTCTCAAGACCCCTGCTCTTACATTCTGTTTACCCAAAATCATGGTACTTCCCCTCTTTACATCTCTCTTCATTTTTTCTAAATATATATCAGTATATGACGAATAAAAATTTGATGTTGGCCTGTTGGGGCATTCTAGTCTAGGTAATTTGATATGCAAGGTTTTCTGGAGAGGGGGGCTAATCAGGCCAGATTATGGACCCAAAAGTTGTAATATCTGGGGGATGCACTTGGTTTGGTTTCAATCCACACTTCCCAGAGCTTCAGAGTCGGGAAGCAGCGGCAACATTGCAGTTGCTGATGATTGTTAAACAAATCTGAGGAATTGAAAGTAAAAAGAAAGACATTGAAGGGTAGAAGGGCTGTCATGAAGTGGTTGAAGTGCTTCAGGTGGAAGAAGAAGAAAGAATTACAAAAGATGTACTGCTGAGGAAAAATTGATTTGCAATCTGAGAAAAGTAGGCGAACACTTATACCACCTCACTATATATGACTCCTAAGTAGGGATGGACTAAACCGGGCCGGTTCTGGGCCCAAGGATTTGCAAAAAAGCCCACCCAGGCCCGGCCCGGAACCGGAACCGGACCGGCCCGAGTCCATCCCTACTCCTAAGTGAAACAGCATTAAGGCCGATTTCTAGATTAGTGCTTTTCAATAATGTAATTGTTAAGGAGTCCCGCTTCGTGTACACGCCGATCAAATTGTCTGTATACAGACAATTTGATCGGCTAGACAGACAATTTGACCGGCGTTTTATGAAGAAAATCAATTCCCATACAGACAAAATATAAAGAGTTGTCTGTATCATAGACATTTTAAACCTGAATTTTTCATAAAGTGTCTTTGATACAGACATTTTTTTTTTGTCTGTGTGAAAATTGATTTTCTTCGTAAATCGTCGCTCAATATGTCTGTATAGTCGATCAAATTGTCTGAACACAGATAATTTGACAGGCGTGTAACCCGGCGTGTAAAACTTGGCGTTTACAAAAGGAATTTTCCATTGTTAAGACATCCTGCCTCACAAATATAAAGATACAATTTCCCATAAAAGACCTTAGACACCTCCAACAATCAGTCTATCACTAGACCTTTTAGAATTGAACATTTAAACCTGATGTCATAACCGTTATCAATAAGCATTTTATGAAGTGGAAATCAGCAAAACCAGGTCTCAATCTCATTAAACCATAAAGTAAAGTTTAAGATCTCTATTTTAATACCAATATAGACAATAATGAGGCTAATTAGGTAAGCTTGTCAATGGGTCAGATTCGGGGCGGAATATAGTGTTCTACACCTGGATTCGCTAAGTTAATATTGGACTCAGACCCAGACTCATATACCTGACATGTATGAAAATTTGGACCTAGATCCGGATCCTACGGGTCTCGGAACTGAATCAGTAGACCCGCCTAATATGAGATGCGCAAATTAGCTACCCTCTCTATCGTCATTAACAATAAAAAAACACAAAAGCAAAACATATGTTTGCTTTTTAGAAAACAAAATTCAAGGTTTCACATAGGAAATTAGTACTTTTATCCAAATGATCGGTTCTTGTAGAGGCATATAGTTCAACACTTTGTGTCACTTTCTGTCTCACACAAAGCTTACAGAATAGACTACAAATTAGATCACAAAATGATTAAAATGTTTTTACTTTGTTAATTGATTTTTCTTGAATTTATTACATTGCGTGAAACCTCTAGAATCTTGATATGTATGTTATGCGCATTAACTTTTTATAGTTCAACAATACATTAAAATATCGTGTAATATTATTTGTCATGCATATATTACTTTAAAAGATTAGTACTCCAAACTTGCATACGTAATATATATACCCCAAACTTTATATAAAAAGTTATTTTTGTATCACGATTGTATATTTTTTACAAATACAATTTTATTGGAATAATTACATAGTTTAAAATACTCTATGCCTTGATGGAATGCAATTAACATTCTAAAGTTTCATTTGTGAAATAAATAATATTACATCCGGTACAATTTAATTTTAATTGCATCCTCATAAATGTTTTGTATGTTTTAAACTATGTACTTAACACCATAAAATTACATTTGTGAACAAATATATGATCATGGTGCTAACATAAATTTTTATATGAAATTTGGGATATATATTACTTGTGCAAGTTTGGGGTACTTATCTCACATTCCTTCAAAATTTAGTGTATTTAAATTATTTCCGCTTAAAAGAAATTAATTGTTGCATAAAACAGAAGCCTTTACTGTTCTTATAATATTTAGTCATCTAGAGAAATTTATGTGCATGTTTGATCATAACACTAAGAAATGAGCTTTATGTGCATGTTTGATATTTATCAACATCGAACGAATTGAATGTGGTCATATGTTTACTTTATCGATTGGTGATTTTTAGGTTTATTACCGTACATGGAAAATCTCAATATGTAATTTTGTTTACTGGGAATCTACTATAATGACATGATTAAAATTCAAACCATCACATCAAACTCAGAGTGTCCAACAGTAACAACAATTGTAAACAATCAACTATCACTATTAACCCTACTGTTAGACATAGAAACAATCACCCTTAAAAGAACATTATTACAAATCGCTAACCACATTTATTGACTATAAAGATTCTCGAACTTCTAATGACATAATAACTTGCTAAATTGCCAATCATTTTTGTAAACCTCAAACCAAAGTCTTCAACAAAAACATAACAAATGTAAACAAACATGAAGAAGAACAAAATATTTGTTGCATAAAACATAATTGTTTATTTTTTATACAATATTTAAACATCTAGAAAAATTTATATGCATATCCGATCATAACGCTAAGAAGTGAGTTTTTTTAGTTTTAAATTTGTCATTCTAATCTTGAATATGATGTGCATGATTAATTATAATGTAAGGGGATCTTGACACATTGTTTAAATCAAAACTGAATTATGTGTATAATCTATATATTAGAAGGGCTTTCACAATATAAATCTTTGCACATATATACCTACCTATATTCACAAAATTTAAGAACCATTAATAAAGTAAATATTCAATAAAATCACATATGGGAAGTACAAATGCCCGAAGCAAAGCCCGGGCCAAACACTAGTTAAATCGATGTCTTCACATTGAGGGAATTTATTGAATTTAGTGTAGCATCACCCTTTGGAGATATTTTTGTAATATTTTTGTTAACATCATAATAAAGAAAAAATTACGTGTAGCACACAATGTTCTAAACGGTGTAACGCGCGCCAAGGCGGCACACGAACAAGCCTTAAGTCTTTGAAGCCTAGATGGACTTAGGAGCGAAAAAGCGTTTTGAATTTTTATCCTTTATTTTAATTTCCCTAGAGATATTTTAAATATGTATATTAAATATTAAATAGTCTTATTCAAGAACATCATACTATTCAAGTTTTCAACAAAAAAAATTGTCGAGTCCTAAATCTAGCAAATAAATTTTGCAGTTACATAAAAATTAGAACTAGAAAAACTCATTGAATGATAATATTAATACTAATAAAAATAAATAACGTGTAATGCATGACCAAATATAATATATTGGACAAAAATGAGACTTAGTTACTTTTAGAGACTACAACTAGGTTTTAACTTTACATTACAATAACTATAAAAACACACTTACCTTCATTCGTCACACTTTTTGTCCATTAATTTTTTTATAGTAATAGTTTAGATAAAACCTCTAATAAAATTTGGATGTTGATAATGATAATAATAAAATATTAGAATAATATAACAACAATTTGTCTATACATAAAAATTAGAACTAGAAAAACTCATTGAATGATAATATTAATACTAATAAAAATAAATAACGTGTAATGCATGACCAAATATAATATATTGGACAAAAATGAGACTTAGTTACTTTTAGAGACTACAACTAGGTTTTAACTTTACATTACAATAACTATAAAAACACACTTACCTTCATTCGTCACACTTTTTGTCCATTAATTTTTTTATAGTAATAGTTTAGATAAAACCTCTAATAAAATTTGGATGTTGATAATGATAATAATAAAATATTAGAATAATATAACAACAATAATATAATATACAATACACCTAATCTAATGATAAATGTATACCCCATATAATATAATAATATACAACCCGTCTAGGAAAATGTGGCAAACGTTTAAATACATCATAAATAGTAAAGTGGCAAATTTTAAAATTCAGAGGGAATTTTATAATAATAATAATAACAACAACAATAACAATAACAATAACAATAACAATAACAATAATAATAACTTTAGTATGGAGTACTACATAAGTGAAAACAAAACTCAATTAGAGTTTATCCCACACTTGAGACAACCTAGATTGAAAATTTGGAACGTTTTCTGATGCTTCATACTACGTATTTGAATGACAAATTTATCCCTTGTATCACAAAAACACAATGTCATGACCATTCTATGACTAGTTTCTTATTATTCCTAATGTATGACCGCACATGGTCATGACCATGCACGTGTGTTTGAACGCATATTTTAATACCAATACTATCCCTCTATTTAATTAAGGTAGATTCTATGGTACCCTTAAGGTACCATACATTTGTCCACATGGACCAATAAGAATGCTACAGTTGAATTATTTAAATCTAAATTAAAAATGATATAATGATTTGGACCAATCAAGTGAATGGTAAGTACGGTACCCCAATTTTTAGGTGGGTACCGGAGTTGTCACCTTTAATTCATACCAAAGCCACCTCACGCGATAAGTTAGTAGTATGTAATCGTCGGCAATATAACTGCATTTGTATAACCACATGATCTGCCGGAATCATAGCTACATAATAATAGGATTATTATTAGGAGAAACCTAAAAGTAAGGAAATAATTAATAAAAGGTAAGTAAATGACTTTTATTCCTATCCCGATCACCCGACCTTTCTTTACACGAACACTACCATTTCACTGGCAGTTTTGGACTGAAGCTATATCCATGGATTCCGTCCCCGTATTTTCACTGGAAATGTGGATTATGATTAAATATGATGGCCAATGGATCTCAATTACTTTGTTCTCTAGTATTCATGTTGTCGGCTTAACTATACCTTCAAATTGTACGTACGATTCTCTATATTCTCGTGTTTGCGCTGCTATGGGTGAGAATTATGCCGGGAAGAATATTAAGATCTCATATGTTTTTGCTGCATGCCCACCGCCCGTGAATGTATGTGATGACGTTAGTCTACAATTTTATTTACAATTGAAGAGTTTTCAAAAGGATCCGATGCAAATGCCGTTGTGTGTTGAATTTGTATCCGGTGAGGAGGTTGGTGCTACTACTGGAGAGGAAGCACATGGAATTAACCACCCGAGTAATCTGGAAGAATGTGGTGACTTTAACGAAGAAGACAATAATTTCAGTCACTATGTTGATATGGACTTTGAATTTGAGCATATATCGAGTGTTGAAATTATGAGGTTAAATTCTCAGGTTGATGAAAAGATTCATAATATGCCTGTTTTCAACCATTCTGAACCCACACACATTGCATTGCATAGCATCTATGGAAGCAAGAAGAAACTTGATTTTCATTTAAAGATGTATGTCATTACCAACTTCTTTCAGTATAGAACAAAGACATCTTGCTTGAAGGTTTTGCATGTTGTGTTTGTTGACCCCTAGTGCAAGTGGGCTTTGTGTAGTGTGCGCATCGACAGAGTTTCTTTGTTCCCAGTCAAAAGGTATGCATTCATGTTCTTTGTATTACGTTTTGGCATTTATTTGTAATGCCCTCTGTCCAACTGTCATAATGCCCTTACTTCTTCCTTAAATTACGGCTTGATGGTCCCGGATAGGGTAAAAGTCTAGAGGGGGGTGAATAGACTTTTAAATCTTTTCGACCTTTACAAAGATTTCCCTCTAGAGGAGTTGATCTATAATCTTTTGATAGATTAATAGATGCACAACGGAAGTCTTTACCCTTTATATAATGAGTGTTTTAACCACTTTCTGATCTGGGGAAGATTGGACTTAGATAGTTAGCAGTTGGCTTAGCAGTTCGCTTAGCAGTTGGCTAGGTAGTAGGGAACTGCTGAGGCAACTGCTAGACAAATACAGACTTTATGATGAAAATGATGATGGAATATTGTTTAGGATGATGAGGGCTTTCAGAAAAGGTGCTTTAGCAGGAATAAGTTGAAGTTTTAGTGGAGCAGTGGTCTCGGCAGTTGGGTGGTACTGAGGAAACTGCTGAGCCACCTGCTTAGGTTATAAGCAGATTTTCAGAGATCCGTTTGAGTAAAACTTCTTGTTGATGATGTTAAGGGAGTCTGGTAATGTTGTGATGTTCAATGGTTATGAATGTATATGAGCAGTGAGGTCAGCAGTTGAGTGGTGATGAGGGAACTGCTGAGGTACCTGCTCAGATTTTGATCTGACTTTCAGGGATTGATTTTGAACACACTTTTTGACAATGATATTTATGACTGACTGGTGAAACTGAGATGGTCACAGGAAGTGACTTTTATATGAGCAGAGGGCTCAACAGTTGGGTGGTCATCAGGGAACTGCTGAGGCACCTGCTATACTTAGAAAGTGAATTACTGGGAAATGGTAGAGCAGACCTTTTAGTGATGAGGTGCATCTCTGGTGTGAAAATGGTCTCAAAGAAAGTAAGTGATTAAGCAGTAGGATAAGCAGTTGGGTCAGTTAAGACAACTACTTAAGATTCTGCTGGCAAACTTCAATCTTTTTGTGAGAAGTGCTAAGTGTGTGCTTTGTTGAATGAATGTAAATCAACACACAGTATATCCTGGTTCAGAGGTGGTGTAATCCTCCTACGTCCAGTCTCACCCTCTTTCAGATGGATTTCACTAAAGTATTAAGCCCAATACACTTAGTGTCAATCTAGCGTTTACAACACTTAGGCCTAGATTGAAGGTTTTTCACAGTGAGTATAGCACCACTCATAGTTACTCAGTCCTTAGACTTTTCTCTAATGACCCAGTGGGGATCAAAAGGTACTCTATCTATCTACTTACACTGTAGGATCCGAACAACTGTTCTCCTAAGTGTTTACAGCAATATGTGTTTTGTTATAAGAAAGTTCTAACCTCCAACTAGGAACTAAACTTCTATGATTTGGCAATGAAAAGCTTTGTAAACTGGAAGTTTAGTGAAGCATGAGTCCAAGCAGAGAATAAAGTTTAAAATATCACTTTCTCTTTTGCTAGATATCTCGTAAATGCTCGTGATAGAAATTCTCTCTTTGGATGCTCAAATGCTTGGTTAGAAACTTTCGTTTCAGCCTCTATTTATAGTCTTTTTGGCTAATCAATCTTATCCGTTGGTTAGGATAGATTGATCTCTTCCGTTGAACTTCTGAAGAGTACGAGTAGTACTCTTGTCTTCTTGTGCTGGAGCTTTAATTGCGGCTGGTGTTTTTGTCTATAAATAATTCGGCCGCGGCATCTTCTTCCAGGTGTGTGTCCCATGTTGTAGTCCCCAGTACTTGATTCGGTATTAAATACCGGTCAAGTTTTTGTCTCCAATCATATACATTCATTGTACATTTATTTTTGAACTTGGCCTTGTTTTGTGACATTTAATTTTTGTGGGCTAATAAAATATACCGTTAGGATATAAATATCCTATTAAGGTTAACAAAATTACCTTATTGCATTTTTACTTTTTCCGGTCATATTTTATTTGTCATAAAAATTGTACATTAAATTTTATCAAAATTGAGTACTAAAAATTTCCGGTCAAAATTTTATTTGTCAATGTTTTGTGACATTGAGTACTAACAATTTCCGGTCATGAGTACATTAAACAAAAGTACCTTATATCATCACTTATTGCAAATTAAATTGAGACACAATGTACACGTGTTATGTATAATGGCATCATCAAAATCTTATCAAAATTGAGTACTAACAATTTCCCCCTTTTTGATGATGCCAAAACTATACAACACAAGTAACAAACATTTTTATTGATTTTCTTTGAAATTTGTACATTGTTGTAATGTCTAGAATACAATAGTTTATAGTCAGTTTCGGACTAGTAATCTAGCCTAGTCTTGCTTGTCTTCTTCTTGTTTCTTCTTGGCTTCTTCGGCTTTTCTTTTTCTGATCTCAGCTTCTTCTTTGAGGCGTTGGTTCTTCTTTCTGGTTTCTGCTGCTTTCGTAGCTGCTTGCGATCTTTTGGAGGAGGAGGGACCTGCTTGTGTTGAAGGAGTATTTTCCCCCTTTTTGGCAGCATCAGGGATGTAGCTTTCATAAAAAAGATCCTCAATGTCATCATCAATGTCATCAAATGTTCTTCTTATTGGATTGAGTCCATAGACTTGAATGGATAGGGACTTGATGTGATTGTTGATGTCCATAATGTCAGTCTTCATTTCATCCCTGACTTCATTTTCCAGGTTTTGAAGCCGTTGGTTAGTGGTTTCCAAGTTTTGTCCCAGTCTCTGAAGGTCACTTCCATGCTGTAGGAATGCCTTTTGAGTTGCTTGGTGTAGGGAGTTGAGGTTGGATGCCATGTCTGCTCGAGTTTGTCCAATGACATTTAAGTCTGAGAGAGCTTAAGCATTGCTGGAAGCTCCTCCTTTTTTATGTTTTGGATGAATTCCTCATGTTCTTGAATGGTCTTAAGGGCCTGCTCAAGGTTAGGAGGTAAAGAAATGGCAGGAGGTACCTGGGCAGAGGGCTCTGCTGCTTGGGAGGCCACTGCTAGTTCTTTTTCCCTGAGCTTCTTCAGTGAGTCAACAATCTGATTTTCCAGCTCCTCATCTCTGGCTTTCAAGGCTTCAAGTTCGTTGCGAAGTGCCTCCATCTGAGCTGGTTGGTTTGAGAGTTGAATGTTGAGCTGAGCTTTCTGCTCTGAGTTGAATACTTGTTGTATCATCAAATTGCTTTTTAGATGGCAGTGTACTTCAGCGAACCTCATTTCTAGCAGCTCATCAAAATGCTTCTTCATTTTGATCAGTCTCTTGTGTAGGCGTACCTCAGCATTGCTAATGAATTTTGTGGTTGCTCTTCTTTCGTTGATGAAGACCTCTGCTAGTGTTGGAGTGTCTTCTTCATCCTCATGCTGAAGTTGGTTTTTAATTTCGTTGGACGTGGCAGGCTGCTCAGGAGCTGTTTCTTGGTGGGGTTCCACGTTGAGATCTATCATAGCAGTCCCCTGCTGGATAGTAGCAACCAACAGTTTCTGGGGTGCCTTAGAGGATTCCCCACCTCCTTTAGTCTCCAACCTTGATTTCTCAAGGGTCTGTCTGAGTTGTTTATCACTAGAGGAGGAGTGAACGGTTTGCTTACCTCTTGTACGCGGAGGTCCTCTGGGTGCATTATCAACATCATCGTTATTATCATCATCACTGCTATCTTCTATGTGAGATTTGGCAGTGAGATTCTTCTTCTTTAGTGCGTAGACTTGATTGATCTTTAGCATCTTGGTTGCTTCCGCCATATCTTCAGTGCCTACCTAATCCACCACAAAGTCTTCTTCTTCGACAAAGTGTGCAAAGTTTTCAACTTGAAGGCGGCTCCTAGATAGCTTCCATGATCTCCAGGCCTTGACTCTTGTAAAATCAGCGTCCAATTGCTCTAGGGGTGTGATTTTGGGTGACTCTAATGCTTGTAATGGAGGGGGCTGCTCGTTGAGAGGAGCCACCTGCGCAGCTTCTTGGAGGGGCAGCTTGGATGAGTCCACTGCTGGAGATGAAGCAACCAACTGCTCTAGTAAGAGAGCCACCTGCTCTTCTTGCTGTATTATCTGCTCTGTATCTTGGGGAGTCACCTGCTCTCCCTGTTGAGTCATTCTTGGAATGAGTACTGATAAGGATAGTTCAGAGCTATTACTTGCATTTGATGAGCTGGGTGAGTGTTCTGATGTATCCTTGATGGCTAGGGGAGAGGAGGCAACTGCGTCTTCTTCTTGAATGATGGCGAGAGGGGAGGCCACTGCTTCTTCTTCTTGAATGGGTGCCAGAGAAGATGCTGCTTCTTCCATTTCGGTTTGTAGGTTTCTTGTTGCCGTCCTTGGTTTCTTGGATGTGCTTGCCTTGCACCCAGATCTAAGCCGTTTTGCTGTCTTGGTATCCACTTTGAAAGATACCAAGAGTAGTTCGTTGCAGACAAAGGAGGGGTCTGCCCTTGGTATTTGTGGAGCCCCTGCTTTGGAGGTTTGGTGGAGGAATTTCCTCTAGTTGGTTTCTTCTTTGACTTCCCCTACCAGTCCTTTCCTTTTCAAGAGTTCTCCAATGAGATAGCCGTAGCCTACCCATGGGAAGGTGTTGTCTTTTCTTCTTTCTTCGTGAGATTTGTTGACAAATTCTTGAAGTTGGTTGTGGACATACCTTGACCAGTTGTGAGGGATGCCTGAGATAATTACAGCCAATGGAACTGCCCTTTTTGCGTTGATTTCATCTAGAGCCGTGCTCTTGGTGTCAATGCATTTGTAGAGGATGTCGAGCAGAAGGGAGTACTCTTGAACCATCAACTTCTTCTTCACTTTTAGTGTGTTGAGGTGTTGAGCACTAGGTAGGAAGACTGTATCTTTGAAGCTTTCTTCGTCTAGGTTGAGGTCTGTCACATTTGGG